CTTTGGGTGGTTGATGATGCATGGAGGGGATTGGAACCATGGCAATGAGATAACATACGATGGAATGAACGTAAAACTAAAGTTCTTCCATGTAAACTATCATATAATTCACAATAGCAGAATAGCCCAGAGACACACTCGTGGGCAAAAATTAACGGGAACAGACAAATCTCCAGAACTGCTGGGAGCACAAGAAATTAGGAAAGAGACCCACAGAAGGAACTGAAACAATTGAGACACAGATTTGGACTTTTAGCCACCAGAAATGTGAGAAAATTGATTTCTGTTCTTTAAAACCACCTATGTATGGGGGTTTTAGTGGCTGACATTGTTACAACAGCCCAGTACAGAGTCACTATGAGTCGGAACAGACTCAAAGGCACTTAACAGAAACAATAACAAATATAACTAAGAAGGCTCCTAATTGTTATTTAGGACTAGGAAGGGGAGTATCTTAAAAGAGGGCCTTTATCCTTTTACTTACATGTTTCTGAAATGTTTGAATTTTTTAAATGTATATTCTTTTTGTAATTTCTGAGCAAAGATATTTGATTAGATGTAAACTGGAGCTATCCTACAGAGAATCAAAGAATTTAATGTATCAATGTGTGTTATCTAACTGAATTTGACTAGCTGATACCATCTAATTGCTATGTGCCAGCTTGTCATGTTGTAGCAGCCTGGCAGTACTGATCATAGATAATGTGCAGCAAAGCCTTCCCGGGGCAGACTGGAAGTGGTTTTGCAGGTTGGGCAGGATTTTCTAACACAGAGAGAACTAGCATGTCCAGTCCACTTTCCCATAAACAAATGCACTTCTTCTATTTTGTTGCATTTTAAGTATTTCTGTTTGTTTAATTACCCAAATCATATATCTTCCTTGCAAAAACTAAAACAGAAACAAACAAAAAAAGTTCAGATGACACATCAATGTATAAACCTCATTATGCAGAGGTAACCACTGTTTAGAGTTTGCTTGTGTATCTTTTTAGATGTTTTTTAGACACACACCATTTTATTTTTGTTTTAAATTACTTTTTATTGAGATATGACCCTCGTACCATAAAATTCACTAAAAGTGAATTTTGTGGTTTTTAATATATTCACAATATTGTGCAACCGTCTCCACTATCTAATTCCAGAACATGTTCATTGTCCCCAAAAGAAACCCTATATCCACTAGCAGTGTAAATGAATACTTCATTTGATAAGGATCCACACTAAGCTGGTTCCTATGAGGCAAATGTTAAAGATAACCCAAATGTCTAATTTTTCCAAATTACTGTACCACTTCATCATTACTAACATCAACTTCTCCTCTCTTCAGTATTTTCCTTCTGATCAGTGGGTTGCAATGTCTCATGGAACGCACGAAACATATTTACAGTTAAGTGGCTTCTTAGGGAATTAACAGAATACATCTCAGGATTAGAAATGACCCCAAAGTATCAGAAAGAGCTCAGCATATAGTTCGTGATCCAGAACAGCTCTCACCTTCAGCTGTAGGGCCCTGCCCAGAAACTCCGGCAAGTGTTACTACTCAACACTTAACTCCTTGGGTTGGCAAGCCCTACTATAGCCATTTTGCACCACTTTCTCTTGTTACTGTTGTTGCACTGTCTCTCACTGCCTTCTGGGTTACAATTCCTCTCTCTCTCTCTCTCTCTCTCCATGTGTCCCTTTAAGCTTAGGGGGGCCAAATTGACCAGTCCCCTCACTGGAGTTTCATACACGTTGTTTGCATGCCCTATCCCCACAAAGAAATCTTGGTGTGGATCTATGGAGAAGCTCTGGACTGTTAACGAAAAGGCTGGCTGTTCAGACCCACCAGATGCTCCTTCAAAACCCTATGCAGGGTTGCTATGAGTTGGAACCCACTCAACAACACTTATCAGCAACAACAGCAGACCCCACAAAGGTTCCATGCTCCTTATTTGCATTGTTGTTGTTAAGTGCCATTGAGTCAGTTCCCACTCATAGCGACCCTGTACAGGGTTTCAGAGGAGTGACTGGTGAACTTGAACTGCCGAACTTGTGGTTCAAACCAACCTTGCAGGCCAGCGTATTAGCCCGCAGCAAGTTATTCGATCCCCTAGGTGGGCCACAAGCACCTTATTTGTGTACCCAGTCAATGGGTGGGAGTCACAAAGATGATACCTAGAAGGATTATATCTGCATCACAAGCTATTGCCAAGCTCTTCTAGCCATTGGCCCTTTCTAACTTGAAGAATTAACTTCCCCCTCCCATTCTCTTCCCCTGCTCCATGGCAACCACTAATTTATTTTCTGTCTATACAGCTCTGTCTACTGTTGTTGTTGTTGTTATGTGCCATCGAGTCGGTTCCGACCCATAGTGACCCTGTATAGGGTTTCCGAGGGTGTAAATCTTTACGGGAGTAGAAAGCCTCATCTTTCTCCAGCGGTGCAGCTGGTAGTTTCGAACCGCTGACCTTAAGGTTCGCAGCCCGATTCGTAACCACTACGCTAGGACATATTTAAATGGAAAAGTACAATATGTGGCCTTTTGTGTCTATTTTCTTTCACATCAGTGTGTTTGAGGTTTACCCATACTATAGCATGTATCAGGAGTATGGATTCCAACAATAAGGACTGCACTGTGAACCACAAGGCCCACAGTTCGAGCCCACCAGCCACTCAGTGGGAGAAAGATGAGGTTTTCTGCTCCCTTGAAGATGTAAAGTCTTGGAAACCTTATACAGGGTCACTATGAGTTGGAAATGACTCAGTGGTACTTAATGACAGCAAACTATTTTAAATATTGCCTCATATGCATGTAAAAGCTGGACAATGAATAAGGAATACCAAAGAAGAATTGATGTTCTTGAATTATGGTGTTGGCAAAGAATATTGAATATATCGTGGGCTGCTAGAAGAACAAACAAATATGTCTTGGAAGAAATACAGCCAGATGCTCCTTACAAGCAAGGATGGCAAGATTTCATCTCACAGACTTTGGACATGTTATCAAGAGAGATCAGTCCCTAGAGAAGGACATCATGCTTGGTGGAGGGTCAGAAAAAAAGAGGAAGACCCTCAATGAGATGGATTGATACAGGGGTGGCAACAATGGGCTCAAACATGGCAACAATTGTGAGAATGGTACAGGATTGGACCGTGTTTTCTTCTGTTGTACATGAGGTCTCTGGACTCCTAGTGTGGCACTATAGGATCAGCACTGGACTGTGAACCATAAGATCAGCAGTTCAAACCCACCAGCTGCTCCTCAGAAATCCTATACAGCGTCTCTATGAATTGGAACTCACTCAACAGCACTTAACAACAATATCAACAAGGAGGTCTCTATGAGTGGGAACGGACTTGATGGCACCTTGGAACACAATACATTGTTTATTCAAGTCCATGCTCATTTTTTAAAAATTGAGTGATTTATCTTTTTATTATTGAATTATAAAAGTCCTTTCTATATTCTGGATGAAAGTCCCTTTTCAGAAATATAATCTTCACATATTTTCTCCCAATCTGTGTGTTTCACTTTTTGTTTTTAGAACCAAGATGAATTACAAAATACACTGCTCTGCAACTTGATCTTTTTTTCTTTTTAAAAGTGTTTCGTGGACATCTCTCAGTGGAGAGCTACTTCATTCTTGATTCTGCCAAGTTTTTCCCCCTCTTCCTCATTCGTTTTATGGATACATCATTCTATTATGGCTGACTGCAACTTACACAAACAGTTTTCTACTGAACTTTAAACCGCCTTAAGTTCATGTGTTGGTTAGAGACTGCAATGCCATTGCTCTGGGGCAAGAGAGGCAGTCCTCAGATTACTGGGCTTCCTGCTCTTAGATGATGTGAACATGCAAAAGTAGGCACAGGAAACATCTCGAACCTGCTTTTACTTCCCCTCCAAACCCTGTGGTTTCACAACCCCTAGTGTCACACATTACTCCCAATGTCACCAGCCTCTTGCCTCTATGAGAAAGCCTTGCTGTGAGAGGCCCCAGAGCATTATCATTTCCTTCTTTCACTCTGTCTAGGTTGCCAACATATCCCAAGGGCTCTCTGAGACTGGAACCTGAATCGTTTGGTTGTCCCAGAGGCTAGAGAGATGAAGAATTCTTACATCATCTTAATGAAGCTGCTATTGTCTGGACCCTTTCTCTTCGGTAAGCTAAGGAGAAGGGAAGGGGGAACAGATGAAGGGAAGGGGAAGGACGTGTACCTGTGATCAGAGAAACTGCAAGGCTTTGTGAAATTGGATAAATGAGGAGCTTCTCTAAGGGTGGACTGGCCATAGGTAATGTTGGGGTCATAAATCCTGGAGGGAGACAGAGAAAAAGAAAGAGAAAGACATTCAGAGGCAAGGTATGGGAGAAACACAAAGAAAGGAAACAAAGATGGTGGTGGTTAGAGAGGAGGGATGAGGGGTCCTTTGAAAAGACAGATCGTTAACGGATATGTAGTTTGGAGGAGGATGCTGGGCTCTGGTTCTACCCATGGCACTATCTTTCCATTTGATCTTAGGCAAGACTTTTCCCCTTTCTGGACTTGAGTATCTGTATCTAAACAAAGAAAAGACCAGTATCTCTGACCCCCTCAAATTCTGTGGAATAAGTCTGATGCCTGGAAGGAGGGCACGACAGAAGGGACAGTTTGGGTCTGCACATGTTCTTTAGGTTGTGAGGTGGAGCTTGGGGCGGAGGATCTGAAATCTAATGGCAAAGGGAAGCCTGGTCCATGGTGAGGGTGGGAAGTGGGAAAGCCTTAGCTGAATGAGGAGGTAGCCTCACAGGGACCAGTACATGTTAAATTCTCAAGTATGCTGGAGAAAGTCTGAGACTAATTATCTGAGCTCTCAGGAACATGGACCCCGTGACAAGTGTATGGGAAGTGTGCCCTGCTTTGGGGAATCCCCATCTTGTCCCTGTCTGTGACTATGCCACAGGGAGGAGTGGGCCTTCCGTCTCTTCCTTTCTCATGGGCCTTCTTATACTTCCTTCTTTGCTGAGAGGTCAAGCAGAAAGTTGCTGTGTTCTTCCCAGACCTTGGTGCTGCCAGAACTTTGGGTAGGAAGGAGTCACTGCTTCCATATTTTCCCGAGTCAAGGCCCTCAAAAGGAAGTCCAGGAAGGCAGATTCAAGCTCTGCCTCACCTAGACGTGGGTGGCTGGGGGAGGAAGCAGCCAGTTTATAAGTCTGTTGGAGTCCTATTCTGATAGGCCCATAGTTCAGAGGCCACAGTTCTCAGGGCGTACACGGGGGTCCCTGGCTGAAGTGGCTGATACCCCCTCGTTTCCTCAGCTCCGACCTCAAGCTACAACCTGGATGTGCTTCATGTACAGAACTTCTCCTTCCAAGATGCTGGGAGGCATTTTGGGTACCGCGTCCTGCAGGTTGGAAACGGGTGAGCTGTACACATCCCCTACCCCACCCCAAGTCTTTTCAGCCCCACACCGGTAAGGTGCCCCTGATGTCAGCCCTAGTGCTTTCCCAGAGGGTAGCCATGTCATCTTGGCCGACTCCTTAAGTTGGCCAGTAGATGAACCAGAGCAAGTTGTGAGGGCCTGCCTTTCTTGATTTCCTAAGTGGGATTTCTCTGGAAACACAGGGACAAATAAGGCTATCAAGTACGCTAGGTATGATAATCACATTGTTAAAGTGCCACACAAGTGCCTAATAGAAGGGGAAACATATTAGGATCCCTAAAACACTTCCTGAAGTTCTGATGTGGTGCTGTAGGATAAGCACTGCACTGCAAGGTGGGTTTGAACTGCAAGGTAGGTGGTTCAAACCCACCATCTGCTCCTTGGAAACTCTATACAGGTTTGCTTTGAGTTGAAACCAACTTGAAAGCATTTAGCAATATGGAGTCCTGGTTTGGCCCTTAGGATAAGCTCAGGACCTCAAGGTTGGTTTGAACCACAAGGTATGTGGTTCAAAGTCACCAACCACTCCTTGGAAACTCTATATTCAGTCGCTGTGTGTCAAAATCAACCTGATGGCACTTACCAACAACAACATATTGCTTTGAGTTAACTGGTGGGGATCGGAACCCCATCAATAAGCAGGAGTAAAAGGAGCTCTGGTAGCGTAGTGGTTACGAGTCAGGCAGGTCAGCATTTGAAAACTACCAGCTGTTCCGTGGGAGAAAGATGAGGCTTTCTGCTCCCATAAAGATTTACAGCCTCAGAAACCCTACATAGGGTCACTATGAGTCAGAACTGACTCCATGGCACACCGCCACAGGTAGGTAAAGATTTGAGCACTCCATCTCACAGGTGACATTTCTCACCAGGGTTGTCGTAGGAGCTCCAGGTGAGGGGAGCAGCATGGGGAACCTTTATCAGTGCCAGTCAGACACTGGGCACTGCCTACCAGTCAGCCTGAGTGGTAAGTAACCTGTGAGGAAACTGGGAGGGTGGTGTCTCAGGGAAATCAAAACTTGCCCCTACACACCTGGATTGCCTAAGTTCTTCCAGACCAACTTTCTGATGCCTACAGGTTTCAACTATACTTCCAAATACTTGGGAATGACCTTGACAACTGACCTCACAAGTGGAAACCTTTTGGTAAGATTTTGTGTAGGGTGAGAGCAAACCCTATGAAGGCTAGGAAATTGACACTGAAAAGAAGGAAATGGAGAAAAGTTTCCACAGGGGGTTAAAGGCATCAGAGAGATTCCTGATTTATCAGTGTTTTTAAAGAACCAACTAAGAGCCAGCTATTTTCAAGACCTTAGTTACTTTACCTTTTCCATGCCCAAATATAAAATGTATGTGACTATTGATTGATATATAATTATTTTTGGTGGTACACAAACTTTTTTTGTTTTTAACATTTCATTGTGCTTTGGGTCAAAGTTACACATTTTAAAAAAGCTTTTTATGTCTTTAAGTAAAGGTTAATTATACAAACTTGTAAAGTTTTAATAGTTAGAGCCAAACACACTGCCACAGAATCGATTCTTATAGGACAAAGCAGAGCTGTTCCTTAGGGTTCCCAGACTGCAAATCTTTACAGGGTTAGACAGCCTCATCTTTCTCCTGTTTAATAGCTATATATTTATTTAATGAATCATTGGGAAAAGTATGCACGTACATAAAACTTGTGATTTCTTGAATTGTATTGCTTAGGATGAGACTAAAGTAAGAAAGAGAAAACTATATTTAAAGGAAAATTTAAGTGAATAATAGTATGGGTGATTTGCCCAAGCAGGCAGAAATTGTGAGGTGGTGCACAAATGCTTAAAGTATGGGAAACACTGCCTTATTTTGCACATCCCTCAAAACAGTTGGGTGACGGGTGGAGACCTGGTTGGCCAGCAGTGTGGCAAGACCTGGGGACTCTTGGGCCCAGAGTCAGTGACATAACCACAGAGGACTAGAGTGGAGAGTGAAGCATCTAGCTGATAAGAAGAGAGGGCATATGCACAAGAACACCTACACTTGCAGATAACACCCACTTAACCTGGATTCAATGACTGGATGATCAGAGCTCAACTAGAAGAAAAAAAGAGTAATCTGATACAATTTGATGAACTTGACTTACGCCTATGGATGCAGTAGGTCAAAAGAGGGCACAAATCTTTATAGCAAGGATCATTCCCACCCCCTCCACACACAGAGTAGACAGGGATAGGCAACTTGGACATTGGCTACCCAAAATGGGGGGGTGGGGGGGCGGCTACAAAGGCAAGAAGTGACTGGCTTACAAGCTTTCAAGAGGGAACCTAGAGCCAGAGGGTGTGGAGGAAGGTAGAATCTCCACTGAGTAGTATCCAATCTGTCTAGGCGGGGCTGATGAAATGAAATGCGGATAGGTCTCTTATGATACAATAATGAATAACTGTTATCAGGATTGATTGTGAAGGTTGGGAATGTAAAGGTAGATGTTTTATAGCAAGGAGGGGAGTGATTAACTTTGCAGTCTAGGAGCGGAGGTCCCTGGTAGGATCAAGGGAGAAGAGCAGAGAGCGGGACCCTATTTAGAGAAGCAGTGATGCCTGAGATGGAGGCAGAGACGATGACGTGGAGAGATGGAGCAGCTGGGGACTTTAGACACAGAGAGGGAGAGGGTCTGTGTGCTGACGACCGGGGGTAGGCTTGTCTACCCTTTGGTTGGTTGATGATGCATGGAGGGGATTGTAACCATAGCAATGAAATGATATACAATAGGATGAATGTAAAACTTATGTTCTCCCATATAAATTATCACATAATTCACAATAAAACATTAAAACAAAAAAACAAAAAAAAAAAAAAACAGTTGGGTGAGACAGGGACCCATATATACATTTTGCATAAGAAGAAATAGGACCAAAGAGGTTGAGAGACTGCCAAGGTCACATGGTTGTAAAAAGCCAGGATTTGAATTAAATTCCCAAGTTCCTTGCTCTTTCCAATTCTCACCAGTAGCACCCCTCTGACCCAGCTGTTAGTGAGAGAAGACGGTGGTGGTTATGTGCCATGGAGTCACTTCTGACTCATAGTGACCCTGTACAGGGTTTCCGAGGCTGTAAATCTTTATGGGAGCAAAAAGCCTCACCTTTCTCCTGGGGAACAGCTGGTAGTTTCGAACTGCTGACCTTAAGTTTCACAGCCCGATTCATAACCACTATGCTACCAGAGCTCCTCTCACTAATTCCTTCCATCTCCTATCTCTCACATAATTGGAGCTTAGTACTAACTATTGTTATATGCAAGACTCTGTGATAGAATCTGATGGGAGAAGAGAAATGAGATACAAAGATGACCATAATATGAACTCTGACATGTGAGAAAGTCTGGTCTGGCAGGAAAGATGGCTAGAAATGTAAGAAACAGCATTTGTATTCTGAGAGTGGTGAATGATTGGGCATAAATGCAGAATGTGAGATTAGGAATGGGTGAGGTTGGATGTTGGCTAGTGCCCAAGTATAAGCAATTTTGAATGCCAACTTAAGGAGTTAAGAGTTTATTCACTATAGGTAGTCAGTGTCCAATGACCTACAGTATTAATCAAGTTATTGTGGAGGCAAAGTCAACCAATGAAATGTAAAGAAAGAGCCCTGGTGTCACAGTGAGTTAAGTGGTGGGTTGCTAACCAAAAGGTTGGCGGTTTGAGCCCACCAGTTGGTCCACAGGAGAAAGATAAGGCAGTTGGCCTGTGTAAAGAGGCAGTTGCCTCTGTTCTGTAGGGTCATGATGAGTGGGAATAAACTAGACAGCAGTTTCATTGGATGTAAGGAGTAAGGGAGAAGGATCATGACACTGAAGGGTTTTGTTCTTGGCTAATGACATTCAAAGGACAGATCAGGAAGAACCCTTTTACATTTGCTTCCTTCAGGCCTGTGACCCTGGGCTGTCTCGGGTATGTGACCAGAATATGTATCTAAGTGGCCAGTGTTACCTCTTCCACCAGAATTTGGAGAGCCCAGTGCTGCAAGGACGCCCTGGTTATCAGGGTAAGCCACCCTGATCCATGGATGGGAAAGACCCCAACAGGTCCAGTGGGTAAAGAGTACTTCCAGCATTGGTAATCCAAACACTGGTGACACTTCAAGTCTCTTTATGTCTGGCCTTTGTAGAATGTATAAAGGGCAATGTAGACCTGGTCTTTCTGTTTGATGGTTCAATGAGCATGCAGCAAGATGAATTTCAGAAAATTGTGGACTTCATGAAGGAAGTGATGAAGAAACTCAGCAACTCTTCCTACCAGGTAAATGTATTAAAATTCTCGGTTGCAAGCAACGGATGTCTACCTGAACTAGCTTAAACCTTTATGGAAATTTTAATATGAGGTGTCTCCAAAACCTAAGAGTATGTCTTTAACTGAATCTCAGGAAGGGACAAGAACTAGAGAGTAGAAAGCGGCTAGAACTTTCTAATTCTCATTTGTGCGTCTTTCTGTATTTTTGTTTCCTTCTTCTCCTCTGTAAGCTGTCTCCCTTAGCTTCTTTGGGTCACATGGGCTTGTAAAAGCTCCATGTCTTTTTAACCTTCTTCTCAACCATCTCCTTTTTCTGTAAATTCCAAATTTCAGAGATTTTTGACTGACTTTGCCTCTGTTGAGTGACCATCCCTGGCTCAGCCAGCTGCATCCAATTTAGCAGGGTCACTCAGAAAAAAATATGACTACTGGGAACAATTCCTATTGGTGAGAAGGTGAACCCAGAAAAGAGTTCACTAAACAGCACAACATAACAAAGCAGGAGTTTATTTAATGTTATTTCTATGATTGTTTATATTTTGCCTCATTTTTAAAAGAATGGTATGAGGCAAGAATGTAGTGTTGAGTTTCCCAGAAGTTATACAGGATGTAGAAATTTGAAGAGCTAAATGAAAAAAGATATGTAATTCCACATTGTTTCTTCCTTTCTTTTCTAGTTTGCTGCGGTTCAGTTTTCCACAACCTACAAAACGGAATTTAGTTTCTTGGATTATGCTCAGCGAAAAGACCCCGACATCCTGTTAGCCAACGTAAACCATATGCGCCAGTTGACCAACACCTTTGGTGCTATCAAATATGTCATGTGAGTTCCTTTTGGCAGGAGACAGTCCATCCATTCTAACCTCTTCTAAGGACTCAGTAAGGGATAGTTTATTGTGAAAATTCAAGTGAAGGAATGTTCATCAAGGTTTTGATTCTAAGTAGCAGAAACCCACTCTACATTGACTAAATCCAAAATGGAAATTGTTGGGAGGGTATAGTGATAACACATGAACCTTGGGAGCACAAAGTGTTGCCAGGTCCTCATGAGAGACGAGAATAAGGATATGGATAGTGACCATGAACACAGGCAGCCACAGTTGTTGTTGTTGTTAAGTGCCGTCGAGTCAATTCCGACCCATAGCAACCTTGTATAGGGTTTCCGAGGAGCCACTGGTGAGCTTGAACCACCGACCTTGCAGTTCAAACGGCTTTGCAGTCTGGCGCATTAACCCACAGTGCCACACCAGGACTCCAGGCAGCCACAGTGGGAGTCAGTGTCTGAAGACAGTAAATGAACAAAAACCTCAAATAGTCAAAATTATACTTGAAAGATTCTTTGAATTGTTCATAAAATTCAGTATATTCAAGTCCCATGTTGGAAGCTGGCATACCCTAATCTCCTAAATTCAATGAAGAAAATGTTTTCCCCCAGAGTTGGACCAGACTTCTGGGTTAAAATTGAGGCTTGGATGAAAGCAGTTCAGTTGTGTTGAAGGGCCATACTGTATTAAAGCAAACACAAAAAGATGAACCCCTGTTTAAATGGTAGAGCTGCCACGAAAACACAGAACTGGTTTGGGGAAGAGGAGAATGGTGTCTTCTGTCTCATCCTCACTCTGGGCAGACACTGAGATAGAAGTAGGCTCTTGTGTACTATTTCTTTTATTTTTCTCATCTTCATTTCTTTGCAAAGCATGTGTGGTTGAATTTGCATAAGTTAAACGTGCATGTGATACACCTTCTTAAGACTCTCCATGCTCGTTTCCAGTTGTTTTCTTTTGGGGCTCCCTTGGTCAGCCATGTCCACTTCATTCTTCACTTTTTGTAGACAGATCCGGTATGTAAAGGGTCAAATGTGTCCATTCATAAGAAGGCTGCTTCAGTTCCTTAGTTCAGAAGAACAACCTGAATTTCAGCCTGAAGATGGAAAATCAGATTGGCTGATCCTAAGTCAGATATCCATGGGTCCAACCAGTATGGTGGCTCCATATGATCAACACAAGACTGTGAGCCACAAAGTCCATGGTTCAAACTCACTATCTGCTCTGCAGGAGAAAGAGAAGGCTTTGTACTCTCAGAAAGATTTGTAAAGCCTCAGAAACCCCATACAGTGCCACTGTAAGTCGGTACTTAACAACAGTAACAACCTTTGTGGACAGGAGCTGTTCTTGGAGAAAAGAGACACCATAGAAGGGAAAGCCATCCTAAAAGGTGTCAATTGTGGAAGCAAAAAGAGACAGTCATGGATGTTTATTTAACAAATAGTTCTTTTAAAAAAAGGAACGCTTCTTGAATTTTTGTGTCATCCTTGAGGAGGGGGCTATGCTGATCTTCTCTTTATCATTCCAATTAGTATATGTGCTGCCGAAGCAAGCCCTTAACAAATATTTCTTGAGTAGCATAGTGGTTACGAATCAGGCTGTGAACCGCAAGGTCAGCAGTTCGAAACTACCAGCTGCTCCGCAGGAGAAAGATGAAACTTTCTGCTCCCGTAAAGACTTACAGCCTCGGAAACCCTGTCCAGGGTCATTATGAGTCAGAACCAACTCCATGGCACATAACAACAACAACAACAACACACATATTAGTGTGATAGGCAGTATTCTAGAACAGGGGTTGACCATTTTTCTGTGAAGATCCAGACAGTGAGTATTTTAGGCTTTGTTAGCCAAGATATGGTCTCTGTTGCAGATTTTTCTTTGTGTTTATAACTCTGCATCAATAATAATTAGCCCAAGGCTGACCCCCAAAATGTGAAGATAATTCACATCCCTGCTTTTCCAGATTTCCATCTCTGACATCAGGCCATGCACATTTCTATCTCCTTCAATCTTGAACAACAACCAAGAATTGTTGTTGTTGCTATGTTGTTGTTGTTAAGTGCCATCCAGTCAGTTCTGACTCATAGCGACCCTATATAGGATTTCTGAGGCTATAAATCTTTGCAGGTGCAGAAAGCACCATCTTTCTCCCACCAAGCGGCTGGCAGGCAAGAATTGTGGACCTTGCGGTTCACAGTCCAGCGCTCATTGTATGGGACCACCGCACTCCAGAACTAGGTCTTTACTAAACATCTCCCTGCACAGTCCTGTGCTTGAGCAACCATTTCATATCCTTTTGTGGTTATATTTTAAAGCTTATAGTGAGTACACCCCTTCTGAGAGTTCTGTGTGTCAGTCTAGTGAGTTACTGAACCCACAGGGAGTAGTGAAAGACATCTGCCTATTGGGCGGTTGGTTAGAAGAACCAAGTCCTAACTTCAGTCTTCCTTCCCTTTATTTCACATGTATGAACTCTGAGCCAGGAATAAAAGCTATAGCAGCAAATCAAACCTAGACGGTCCTTCACTGCAGGAATTCAGGGTTTAGGGGGAAAGCAGACACAGAAACCAGCAATAATCTCAAAGGAGATGTGTGGCAGTCAAGATGAGGTGAAGGTTTGGAGGATCTGCCTGGAAATGTGAGAAGGTCTTTTGCAAAGTGCGTAAGAAGGCAATGACCAGATGCAGAATTCCAGCTGTAGGGTGGAGGACCAGAAGGGGAAGAAAGGAGGAAGACCTTAGGCCCAGATTTGGGATGAGTCTCTCACATTCCTTCTCCCTGGACACAGGACAGAGGTGTTCCGGCAAGACCTGGGGGCCCGGCCAGATGCCACTAAAGTGCTCATCATCATCACAGATGGGGAAGCCACTGACCATGGCAACATTGACATGGCCAAAGATGTCATCCGCTACATCATTGGGGTATGGGCCCTTAGACGTCTTCCTGGCTTCTTCTTATGTCTTATCTCTTCCTCTCTTCCTTAATTCCATCCCCCTTCCTACCTGAGCACCAGGAGTTATGAAAATAACAGAAAACAGGTCTGTGGTTCTGGGGATGCCACTTCTTCACTCTTTTACAGATTGGGAAGCATTTTAAGACAAAGGAAAATCAGGAATCACTCCATAAATTTGCCTCAAATCCTGTGGAGGAGTTTGTAAAGATTCTGGACACATTTGAGAAGCTTAAAAATCTATTCAATGAGCTGCAAAAGAAGATCTATGTCATTGAGGGTGAGTGGCAAGCACTGTACACAGGGGATATGCACAGCGTCTCCCCTGTATCGTTGGATTGTTGTTGTTGTTAAGTGCCGTCAAGTCGGTTCCGACCCATAGCGACCCTGTAGAGGGTTTCCAAGGAGTGACTGATGAGCTTGAACCACCAAACCTGCAATTCAAACTGACTTTGCAGTCTAGTGCATTAACCCACAGCACCACACCAGGACTCCACAGTATGAGCACATTGAGTATGGAGTCCTGGTATGGCGTTGTAGGATAAACACTGCAACGTTGGCAGTTCAAACTCAGGAAACCTATATGGCACTTAACAACAACAACACAACATTGAGTATATGCCAAGAGAAAGAGAAGGTTTTCTGCCCCCATAAAAATTGACAGCCTTGGAAACTCTATGCAGGGTCACTATGAGTCGGAGCCAACTCAACGGCACATATGACATCATCAACATTGAGTATATGAATCTGTGACAGAGCTCTCCTGAGAAAAGCCTCTAGTGGGAATTTAGGAGAGGGTGATAAACGTGCCTCTGATATTTCTCTGCGAAATCCCATCTTTCTTTTGGAGCTCAATTTGATCCAGGGTAGGATCCATGATTGACCTTTCTCTTCCATTGCCGCCTGAGTAATGAAGAATGGGTTGCAATTTCTTCCTATCCTCACTCATTTCACTCACCTTAGGCTCCAAATTGCTCATCTGAGGCTTCCGTTGGCAAGCGAATCGGGGCCCAATGAGAGCTCACAGACCCTCTTCTTTAACCTAGAATTGTTGTTGTTAAGTGCCATTGAGTAGGTTCTGACTCCTAGAGACTCTGTATAGAGTTTACGAGGAGCAACCGGTGGTTTGAACTGCCAAAGTTTGTGGTTAGCAGTCCAGTGCTTATCCTACAGCGCCACACCAGGAGAAGGCTCTTATTGTAGTCACCAGATAGCGAGCTGTCTATAGGAGGATATTCCTCAGGAAGCCTAAATGTTATAAAAGACATGATTCCATGTGGGCAAGTCTCCTTTGATAACACACAGTCTGGGGAGTCAGTTTAGTTGAAGAAGCAAAGTGGTATATAGATAGAATTGATTCAGCCAGACACACTCAAGAATCTGACTTGCCTTGCAATCTTAACCTTAATGCCAATTCCTCTTTGAGCATCATTGTATGCCTCTGTGAAATGGGGACAATACTACAGGGAAGATTTAACTGCTCAGCAAAGTGTTTGGTAGTTTGTAGGCGTTCTATTAATGATAGTGCTTATCTCTAGCCCTTATTCTCTACTCTGACTGACCTGCTCTTACTCACCTCCACATCTTAGTTTAGATGTCCTCTTCTTTGCTGTGTTCTTGCTGATCATCCCAGGTTTGTGTTAGGAACTCCTTCCTGTGTGTACTACTGAATCTATCAGTGTTCTCTACTCTAGCCCTGTGACTTTGGGCTCTGTTGTCTACTCAATATCTGTCTCCCATATTCCATTGTAAGGTCTATCATGACATTGTGTGCACTTTTTCACCTTGTTATCCCTGGCACCTAATATTTGTTGTTGTTTTTGTTACGTGCTTTCAAGTTGGTTCCAACTCATAACAACCCAGGGTACAACGAAACATTGCCCAGCCCTGTGCCATCCTCACAATTATTCCTATGCTTGATCCACTCTTGTTGCTACTGTATCAATGAACAAATCATCACAATTAATTGCTATTTCTTGGAAGCTTACATGTTACAGGGACTTTACATTACTGAATTCAGTCCTCTCAGCATCCTTGTAAGGCTGGTGATCTTTTCACTTGATTAATTCATGCTTGCAACAACCATGTACTAGGCACTGTGTCTAAGACACGCAGGGATTTTGCCAAAGCAGAGTTCGTGTTAAAGTTGGATTGAGAAAGTTAACAAACAAGTAAACAACATGACAATTAGGGACTGTGAAGTGAATAAAGTGATGAGATAGATTTAACAGGAAAGGTCACTTTAGATAGGCGTCTATCAAAGAAGGCCTTTCTAAGGTGACTTTTGAGCTGAAACATGAAAGATGAGAAACAAATAGTTATGTGAAGAATATGGGCAATGGAAAAGAGAAGAGCGAGTATAAAGTCCAGGAGGTGGGGAAGGGCATTGACTTAGGCTGGGTTCTCTAGAGAAGCAAAACCAGTGAAACTTATGTATGTATGTTGCTAAGTGCTGTTAAGGTCTGAGGATCAAACCAACTTTGCAGTTGTATATGTATGTATGTGGAGTCCTGGTGTGGCGCTGAGGGTTAATGCACTGGACTGCAAAGTCAGTGGTTCAAGCTCACCAACTGCTCCTAGGAAACCCTATACAGGGTTGCTATGAGTTGGAACTGACTCAACAGCACTTAACAACAACATATATATATATATACACACATATTTGTAATATATATGTAAAATATAGTTATATATATAACATTATATATATATATATATATATGGAGGGAAGTTTATATCAAGGAAATGGCTCACAATTGTAGAAATGGGGATGTCCCAAGTCCAGGTCAGATGAACCAAGATCAGCAGGCAGGTGTACAGGTTAACAGAGCAGGCCACTGGCTCAAGTCCAAAGTACTGGAGGTTGGAGGACAAGATCCATGCCCAGCAGAAAGTAAACAAGCTTTGCTTGAGTGTCTAATATATTGGAAGCAGGCCACACCCCAAGGAAACATCCTTTCAGTTCATTGGCTCCTCATAGCCAATCATCTAAGAGTTAATCACCTTGTATTAGGATCTCATTACGGGGATAGCTACATCTCAATTGCCAATCTACTGAGAATTCTGACCCAGTCAAGTTGACACAAGACCTTAACTCTTATAGACATGTTGATAGAATTTAAAAGATCCATGTGATAGGTGATGATGGTCCCGACTCATAGTGACCATACCTAGGGTTTCTATGGCTAGAAATCTTTATGGGAGCAAAAGCCTCATCTTTCTCCTATGGAATTGCTTGTAGTTTTGAATTGCTGACCGCGACGTTAGCAACCTAATACATAACCACTACACTATCAGAGCTCCTTGTCCCTTGGTGATGATGATGGTTATGTGCCGTGGAGTTGGTTCTGACTCATAGCGACCCTGTACAGGGTTTCTGAGGCTGTAAATCTTTACAGGAACAGAAAACCTCATCTTTCTCCTGCGGAACAGTGGTAGTTTCGAACTGTTAACCATGATGTTAGCAGCCCGATTCATAATCGCTACACTACCAGAGCTCTTTGTCCCTTAGGCACAAGCAAACAGGACCTGACGTCCTTCAACATGGAGCTATCCTCCAGCGGAATCAGTGCTGACCTCAGCTGGGTGAGTGGTGGGAGGGAAGGAAGCAGAGGGCCTGCGGAGCAGCAGCTGAAGAGCCTGTTATGGACATGCCGCCCACTTCAAGAGAATGGCTGACCCGATTTACCTCCCTTGGGCAGGGTCATGGAGTCGTGGGAGCAGTTGGAGCCAAGGACTGGGCTGGGGGCTTTCTAAACCTGAAAGAAGACCTGTGGGGTGACACATTTGTTGGGAATCAACCACTGACACAGGAAGCAAGAGCAGGATACTTGGGTGAGAGCTTCTCTTTTCTGCTGAGTACTTTTGGTTTTCAATGGACAGAGAGTCACCCACACAGACTTTCAAAATACTGATGAAAGCAATTGAGTAGCCAGCATGAACAACTCAGAGTTCAAATATGGCTACAATTAAAAAAAAATAATAAAATGTTTGGAGCTCCTGGGTGGTGCAAACAGCCAATGTTCTTGGATGCTCACTGAGAGGTTGGAGGTTAGAATCCACTCACAGCCACCTCGAAAGAAATACCTATCAATCTGCTCTGAAAAGCCAACACTGAAAATGCTGTTCTCATCTGACATACAGTGAGTCAGAACTGACTCAGTGATAGCTGGTAATGGTATGTTGTTGTTGTTAAGTGTCATGGAGTCAGTTCCGATTCATAGTGACCCTGTATAAGGTTTCTGAGGGGCAGCTGATGGGTTTGAACAGCTGACCTTGTGGTTAGCAGTCCAGTGCTCATCCTACAGCACCACACCAGGACTCCAGTATATATTATAATATATGTTGTTGTTCGTAAGTGCTGTCAAGTCCGTTCTGACTCATAGCGACCCTGTATAGGGTTTCCTAGGAGTAGTTGGTGGGCTTGAACCACCGATCTTGTGATTCAAATCAACCTTACAGTTCAGCGCATTAACCCGCAGTGCCACACATACATATTTTATAGAATAGTGTGGTGCTGTTGGATAAGCATTGGGCTGCTAACTAAAAGGTTGAAAGTTCAAACCCACCAGCCACTGCACAGGAGAAAGAGGAGGTTCTTGCTCACTCTCTTGCTACTCAGGTTACTCCGTGACCTGGCTGCTCTCCCAGAGACACACATTGCTGCTGGCAGCTGGAGCACCTCGGTATCAACATGTGGGGCGGGTGCTGCTGTTTCAGGAACCAAAGGACAGAGGAAACTGGACCCAGGTCCAGAAAATAGATGGGACCCAGGTGAGCACAATCAAGGGGCATCCTGAGACTAGGCACTATGTATGACATTTGTTGTAATCTCTGTTAGTCTTAGGACACTTGCTCACTTAGGATATGGCACAAGCACTATGCAAACATTATCACATTTGGTCCTCCCAAAGACCTCTGAAGTAATCTTTGTCATCAACACAAAGAGTTTGTCTTGTCTTATGCACTCTAGGGTGAATCCAGGATTTAAATCTACATTTGAGAAGCTGGAAGAAGATGGATTTAGTGCAGCTGATGGGGACAGAATTGTCCTGTCATCTTCTGAGATCTCTGGCTCTTTCTCAAACATCGTGCTTTTCTTGCAGATTGGCTCTTATTTTGGTGGAGAGTTGTGTGGTGTTGACATGGACCAAGATGGGGAGACAGAACTGCTGCTGATTGGAGCCCCCCTGTTCTATGGGGACCAGAGAGGAGGCCAGGTGTTTGTCTACCACAGAAAACAGGTGGGTATCAAGAGGACTTTGAGCCAAGGAGGGTGGGAGAAGCAGAGGTTCATAGGTCTATTCAGGTGCCAGTTATTCTGAAAAACTTGACATGCTTGATCATATGTTAATCAAACTTTTAGAACAACAGATAATAGCAGCTAATAGTCATTGTGGCTGGACTGTGAGCAAGACCCAGTGCCCAATGTTTTCTATGTATCTGATCTCATTTGATCCTCACAATCACCTTCTGAGATACTCCAAGCTTTAGCTGACAAATGGGAACACTGAGGCTCTGTAAGGTTAGGTAACTTTGCAAAGCCACAAGGTCACACAGATGGAGGTGGAGCCAGATGGCACCATCTACCATTTCTTTAGCATTCCTCACTGTCACCCTTGCTGTTATCTGCAGAAGTTTGCTGAATAACTGAGTGTGGTGCAGCATGTCTTCTTGTATCCTCCCAGCTGGAGTTCGAAGTGGTCTCAGAACTGCAGGGGGATCCTGGCTATCCCCTTGGGCGTTTCGGAGCAGCCATCACTGCCCTGACAGACATCAATGGGGATAAACTGATGGACGTCGCTGTGGGAGCCCCACTGGAGGATGAGGGGGTTCTGTATATCTTCAATGGACGGCCTGATGGGCTCAACCCCAGGCCGAGCCAGGTAAAATACCCCTGCCTGCCAATCATAAAGCCAGTCCCAGGAACCTTGAAGTCTCCAAGCCCAGACCCACTCTCCTGCCTGACTCTTCCCTGCCTCCAACCTGTCCTCTCCCCAGGTTGGCATGAACTTATTTTTTGCTTTCAGCGAATAAAGGGAGCCCAAGTGTCCTCAGGAATTCGGTGGTTTGGACGGTCCATCCACGGAGTGAAGGACCTTGGAGGAGACGGTCTGGCAGATGTGGCTGTGGGAGCTGAGGGTGGAGTGTTTGTACTGAGGTGAGATGGTACTTCTGAGCCCACCTAAGAATACCTTTAGTTGCCATCCTTTGACCAGTTACCATGTCCAAGACACCAAGCTAAGTGCTTCCAGGCACTAGCGCATTTGATCTTCACCACAGCCATCTTTTGTTCAGCTGTTCTGCGGGAGAAGGATGAGGCTTTCTGCTCCCATAAAGATGAAAGCTTCAGAAACCCTATATAGAGTCACTATGAGTTGAATCAACTTGAAGACACACAACAACATTCCATGTTACACGATTGCTGATCAGTAACAGAAACAGGATTTGAACACAAACCTATCTGTGACACTCAAACCTCCTAGAGAAGCAATATTGTGCAGTGGGAAAAGACATGGTGTTAGAACATGGTGACCTGGATTCAGGTCGAAGCTCTGCCATTTACAGCTTGAATGATCTTACTCTAGTCACTTAATTTCTCAGGACCTAAGCTTCCTCATCTTTGAAATGATGGTGGCATCCCTTGCCTTATCCATGTCTTATAGCTGTTGGAACCAAGATGTGACGTTATATATATAGTAAACAGACATTTATTGAGTACCTACAAAGTCTTAGCACTCTGGGTGGTGCAAACAGTTAACGCAGTCAACTGCTAGCCAAAAAGTTGGAGGTTCGAGTCTAGTCACGGGTACCTTGGAAGAAAGACCTGACAATCTCCTGAAAAATCAACCATTGAAAACACTGTGGAACACAGTTTTACAGTCACAGACGGGGTCACCGTGGACCAAAACTGACTTGACAGCAACTGGTTTGGTACTGTGTCTTAAACACTGAACCGGAACAAGCCATTGGCACATAGTGTATGTGCAGGGTAATATACATAATTTAAAAATTAAACAAGGAAATAGATCATTCCAAATTGTGATAAGAGCTATGGGAGAAATGAGAAGGGAAACCTAGTATAGGCTGAGGGGCCTAGTTGGGAGTTGAAAAAGATGTCTTCTAAATATTGTGTGACATTGAAAGGGGATAGGCATAGTGATTATTTCTTTTTGAAAACTCAGAGGAAGTGGATCAGAGGGGGCTAGGAGGAAGTAGTGGTGGTGGTGTGCCATTGAATCAGTTCCTACTCCTAGTGACCCTGTAAAAGGTTTCCAAGACTGTAAATCTTTGCAGGAGTGGAATGTCTTATCCCACAGAGTGACTGGTAGATTCAAACTTCTGAACTTGTAGTTATCAGCCTAATGCATAACCACAATGCCACCACAGCTCTCTAGGAGAAAGTTGTTGTTGTTGTTGTTGTTAAGTGCCATCGATTCAATTCTAACCTATAGCAACCCTGTATAGGGTTTCCAAGGAGTGGCTGGTGAGCTTGAACTACTGACACTGTGGTTCAAATGACTTTGCAGTCCAGTGCATTAGCCCACAATGCTATACCAGGACTCCTAGAAGGAAGTGGGGAACCCTAACTGGTAATTGCTATTTTTATTGAGAGGAACCCGTGACTCTGAAGTCTGCTTTATGAGGGAGAATCTGCTGGGCTCAGTAACTGTGGCAGGGGAGCCCTCACATCTGACTGAGGAGGTACCCCGCTGACATTTTGCCCCACAGCTCCCGGCCTGTGGTAGATGTCATCACTTCGATGATCTTCTTTCCGGCTGAGATTCCAGTCCACGAAGTAGAGTGCTCCTACTCAACCACTAACAGAAAGAAGGAAGGGGTGAACATCACCATTTGTTTCCAGGTCAAGTCTCTCCTTCCCCAGTTCCGAGGTCAGTGCCTTTCTCCTTCTCCACATCGGCTTGTGGCTCAGGACCCTCCAACTATCCAACTCTGCCCTTTTTACCCTGCCCAGGAAGCCTGGTTGCCAATCTCACCTACACCCTGCAGCTGGATGGCCACAGGACCAGAAGCCGAGGACTGTTCCCAGGAGGGAGACGTGAGCTTAGTGGAAACACAGCTGTCAGCCCCACCAAGTCCTGCTTTGCTTTCTGGTTTCATTTCCCGGTAAGGAGCCGACTCCTGGGGAAGGGACAGAAGAGCGCTGGGTTTGAGGCATGGCTCTGGCAGTCCCACTGGGTGACCAGCTACTTTCTCTTCTACCGTACAATAGCAATAATAATACTTAATACCTTTGATAAAGAGCCCTGGTGGCACTGTGGGCTTAATGTTGGGCTGCTAACCGCAAGGCCAGAGCAGTTCAAGCCCACCAGTCACTCTAAGGGAGAAAGATATGATGCTGTCTGCTCTTATAAAGATTTACAGCCTCAGAAACCCTCGGGAGCAGTTCTATTCTGTCCTATAGGATTGCTTTTGTGAGGGAAGTTGTTGACACCGACAAACACTCAAGAAATCCAATCTGTACTCATTTTCTTTATTTGATTTTGCAAAATTGTGCACCTAACCCAGAGACATGGGTAGACACACTGCCTGGCCAGCCTGCAAACAGTTTTATTCCCCTGTCTTGAAAAAGCACCTTCTCCAGTTCCCCTTTAACTGGGTACTATGGAGCTTTACAATTCTACCCTGAACATCCCATGTTCCCTCCCCTCAGTTCTGCAATTTAGCCAGAATGGTACTCATGGTTTGAATGGCTGTGTTCTTGTTTAAAGTTCCTAGTCCTAGAACAGATTCATTTCCCCACTTCCCCCAATTCATCCTGCTCACATATAACTCTGGGTGTGAATCAACAACCTATATCTGGTCTAGCAATCTCATGAGCCCTTTATTCCTGAAGATGGACCATCTTGAGACTTTCTCACACTGTGAGTCTGAATTAACTTGAAGGCAGTGGGTTGATACTTTCAACATGAACTTTACTATAATGGCAATGGATTTGGTATTGGTTTTAGGTGTTAACATACTTGCTTGCATATACTTTTTAAACATTATTTTGATATGTATTTATCCACCCCCCCCTTTTTTTTAACTACTTTTCTCACACATCATATATAAATGCTGCAGCCAGCATTTCCTAATTATAGTATGTAGTTTTTGTTTGTTTCATTTTTGCTGTTGGGGAGGTACAATTCTACTTTGGCCTATAGGATCACTATGATTATAATTAGTTTTAATGACTATAGAATTTTCAGTCATACAGAATATTCAGCCAAGCTGATGTCCCATTATTTGTCAAATACATATGGTCATTTATTATTAACACTTATCGCAAATGAATTTGTTTTAACCTTAAAAAACTGCTGAAAAAGTCAATTTCACTTTGCTTATAGTTATTATTGTTGTTATGTGCCTTGGAGTCGGTTCCGACACATAGTGACCCTGTATAGGGTTTCCGAGGCTGTAAATCTTTACGGGAGCAGAAAGCCTCATCTTTCTCCTGCGGAACAGCTGATAGTTTCGAATTGCTGACCTTAAGGTTCGCAGCCCGATTCATAACCACTACGCTACCAGAGTTTATAGTAGTCCTATATAAATATAGGATTATATCAAATTATTATGGTCTCTTAAATATTTCATAAAAGACAAAGCATAGGACTGAGATCTAAGTTGTTGTTTTTTTTTTTTTAACTTTTTATTGTGAATTGAGTGAAAGTTATAAACAAAATCATCAATTTATATTCAATATATCATTTCCATTCCACCCTCCTTCCCATCCCTTCTCAACTTTGTTGTTAGACAAATGTTGCCCTTTTGATTTTGAAGTTATTCCATGGTGAGCATACCTTAATAGTGTTTTTGTTACCTCTTATATACTTATCTACTGCTTGACTGAAAATTGGACCATGAGGGTGAGTTCCTCTTTTAGACCTGAAGATGTGGTTGAGGGCCATAGTTTCAGGTTCCTCCAGTCTCTTTCTGATCAGTAAGCTGGATCTATATACATATATAATTTTGAATTTTGTTCCATATTTTCTCCCACTCTGTCCAGGACCTTCTAATGTTGGTAGTGGTAGCTAGGCACTATCTAGTTCTTCTGGTCTCAGAGTTGTGGAGACTGATGGTCACATGTTCTATTAGTTCAATGGGCTAATTGATTCCAAGCATCTTCAGTTTTCATAACTCTTCTGTCTTCCACACATGGAGAGACCATCAGTTGCACCTTAGATAGCTGCTCAAGAGCATTTAAGATCCCAGATGCTACTCGCCACAGTAGGATGTAGAATATTGTCTTTGTGGACTATGTTATGCCAATTGACCATGTTGTCCCCTAAGACATTTGTCTCATTTTTAGCAGGGGTATATTAATACCTACCTCATAGCACTGGTAGAAACTTTAGGTGAAATACATTTGAGTACCTATAAACACTAATAATAACAAAGAGTAAGTCTCATCTCTATTCTCAAGGAACTAATATCTAGAACTAGAATAGATAATGAGTCTGGAATATTCTTTTTCAAATGTTGATTGACTGATAATGACTGCCTATAGTAGTTTGACAAAGACAGGAATTTTGTTAGGGCTCAATGGGGGAAAGTGCTGTCATTGATTAATGATGCCTGTCATGGAGTTGGGGCTGAGAAGGGACAATCCCTGTGCTGAGAAGCAACCCTGAGTATATTATAGAACACCTGATAAGTAGTAGTAAGCAGTAGCTGTTATTATAATTCTCACTACTGGTAACTAAGTACTCAGCAACTAAGTACTAGAATTTCATCATTTGTAAGATGTGAACAAGACACACATTTAATTGGAAGTCATCATGACATTTGTTGTTTTATTCTACTTATCACCCTCAGGTATGTATTCAAGACCTCATCTCTCCCATCAATGTCTCTCTAAATTTCTCTCTTTGGGAAGAAGAAGAGACACCAAGGGGCCACAAGACGGTAAGAACACATTGCCTGGGGTTGTTGGTGGAGAATAGCAAATAGCAGACAGTAGAAATTCAATTTAGCAAGAAGAAACTCTATCACATAGGTGTCTTTTATTTGAATTGACAGAAACCAAATGTGACTTACCTAAGCAGGAAAGGAATGAATGGGAGTCGGGGCAGGTGCATCTCTGGCTCAAAGGGAAATCTAATCATTGCATTAACCCCACTATCAGAATGGGAGAAGAGGAGTCAGGGTGGTGGTTCTGGGGGGTTTCAAGGGGAAGAAACAATGAGTGGACTCCTCAGGGCATGGCCCCTGCAAAGAGTCAGCTCCAGACCTCTCTCGTCTTTGAATCCTCTACACAATATGTGAATTCCAGAAGACCTAGCTGTGGGTCCAGGATCATCCTTAGTTGTGGAAGGGCAGGGCACTCTGACTAGCCTTCTCACCAAAGTGTATTGGCAGCAGATTGTTCCTTCAAAATCAAGTTGGGAAGCTGTTATCATGTGAAAGAAGGAAAGATGCTGGGCAATATCCTCCTTAGTTTATTATATGACAAATTCCCTCTCTAGTGCCAAAAGCTTGGTTTCCTTTTCAAAAACTCTTGACATTCCTCTGGTAATCTGGTCTCTGTCAGGCAGGCAGCAGGATCTGGTGGGGAAAACCTGGGTTTGTTTCCTAGCACGAGCTTGAGCAGGTCCTGCCTCTCTCTGGGTCTCTTTTCCCAGCCATGAAAGAAACGAGTCCCAATGTTTTCTAGTGTGAGCTCTCTTCCAGAGCTGGCAACCTCTTGGTCCTGAGTGGTGGCTCCTAAGTACACTCCTTCTTGTGCAGACCTTTTTTCCCTGCTTCCATTCTCTCTGTTTTTTTTTTGTTTTTTTTTAATGTACACCAAAGCACTCAGGAATATGTAATCATTCAAACAACCAAAGGGCATACCCTGCAAGCCTGCCCCCCGGCCGTCAGTACACAGCCCCTCTCCATCCCTGAGTCCAGAGGCCCCAGCTGTTCCATCTCTCCACATCATGGTCTCTGCCTCCATCTCTGGTGTTGCTACTTCTCTGGATAGGGTCCCGTGCTCCGCTCTTCTCCCTTGATGGTCCCAGGGTCCTCCACTCCTGGACTGCAAGATCAACCACTCCTCTCTTTTTGTTACAAAAAGGTCTACCTTTACATTTGCAACAATTGCAATCAATCCTGATAATAGTTATTCACGATTGAACCACAAGAGTCTTATCCCCATATCTTTTTACCAGAGCCCCATCTAGACAGGTTGAAAACTAATGGCGGGTTTTGTATTGCATTTATTTTGTTTGTTTGTTCTAGTAGCATTTTCCTTAATTCCTCTAAAGTTTTTTCTGTGTTCTCCTTGCTTTCCTAGATCTTTCTGTCAATCTGTTGAAGTTAACCAAAATATCATTCTTTTGAATTCTTTTCCATTAGTTCCATTACCTTTGTTTCCTTGGAAATGTTTTTCCGTCTCTGCATCTTGGTCATTTGTTTGAGACATTCTCTCTTGTTTATTCATGTGAGCTACAATTGTCTGTTGTCTTCAGGACATTGTGTGATCATTGTATTTGTAAAAACTAACAGTGTAGCTGTTGGACCTTGAAGGGAAGAAATCTCGGGTGGATTCCTGCAATTTAAGGAGCTCACTAGGTGGTTGTGGAAGGGATGTGACAGCAGAGTTCCTGGCCCTAGATGGAGTTCCTAATGGCCTAGTGTTGTATATGTTCAGGGCACTCAATCAGAAGAAGATTGTGGGGGCCCTGGATGGAGTTGATTTCAGTGTCATTTAGGACTTCAGGGAAGCTGGGGACAAGATGACAGATTAAATGCTGGTCTGGTGACTCTGTGGGTTTTGTAAGTCTGGAGCTGAGCTCACCTGTATCCAGGCACCAAAGCAGCACACACAAGATGGTCGAGCAGCATCTGGCCAGCAGTTCACCAGTCAATTTTCCTTTTTAGCCATCCCTGCTTGGCCTCTCCTCCTAGTAAACAGTCCATCCACCTCTTTAACTCTTCTTCTGAAGTTCAGGGTGCCAGAATTTTCATCTGTGTCTGTTTTATTTGGTCTCTCGTATCTTTACTGTATAGGATCCTATACTATGTCTGCCTAGTCTGCCATCTTGCCAAAAATCTCCATACACTTTATAAGAGTGGCTTAAAGAAAAAAAAAGGTCTCTTTCTTCCATCCTGCTAATGACAGATGAAGATTGGTACCGTAGTTCTGTTCCTCTACATCAGGGGATGGAAAACTTTTCCTGTAAAGGGCCAGATGGTACATATTTTTGGCTTTATAGTCCAGATGGTTTCTACTACAACTGCTCAGCTCCGCCACAGTAGTAACAAAGCGGCTGAGACTGCTCAAGCACTAGCCACTGTGATGGCTTCAAGTCCGGCAGGAAGGTGGGGTGTAAGAAGAGCATGCCTTTCCCTTGAAGTCCACATGATACGCAGGCATGGCCACATGTTTTTAAAGAGAGGCTGAATAATGTCGTCTTTAGTCCACATTTTAAAGGAAGAAGACAAGAAAAGCCATGTGCGGATAACCAGCTGCCTCTGCCATAAGTCACTGTCATCTAGTTGATTCTGACTCATAGTGACCCAACAGGACAGAGTCCCGCGACTCCATAGGGTATCTTTATAGGAGCAGACAGCTTCATCTTTCTCCCAAGGAGCGGCTGGTGGGTTTGAACCCTTGGCTTTGCAGTTACCAGTCCAACACTTAACCTATTGCACCACCATGGCTCTTTGCCTTTGCCATACCAAAAAAATAAATAAATGAAAAACAATCTTAACTGCCATGAGTCAATTCCAATTCATAGAGACCCTGTATAGGGCTTCTGAGGCTATAAATCTTTACAGGAGCAGAAAGTTTCATCTTTCTCCTGAGGTGGATGGATTTGAACCACCAACCTTGAAGTTAGCAGCCTAACACATATTGTGCCACCAGGCCTCCTTGCCTCTGCTATGTTGTTGTTAGGTGCTGATGAGTCAGCTCCAACTCACAGCGACCCCATCCATGCACAACAGAACGAAACACTGCCTGGTCCGGTCCGGCAGCATCCTCACTAGTGTGGCTATGCTTGAATCCATTGCTGCTGCCACTGTGTGGATTCCTCTCATTGAAGGTCTTCCTCTTTTTTATTGACCTTCCACTTTATCTAGCATGATGTCCTTTTCCAGGGACTGGCCCCTCCTGATAACACGTGTAATGTATGAGAGGAGTCAATGTCACGTTATGCTGGCTTTAAAGGAGCACTCTGGCTGTACTTCTCCCTACTCATATTTGTTTATTCTTCTGGTAGTCCATAGTACTTTTAATATTCTTCAACACCATAACTCAAATGCATTCTGTGGTTTTCCTTATTCATTGCCCAACATTCACATGCAAATGAGGCTACTGAAAATGTCATGGCTTGGGTCAGGCGCACCTAAATCCCTAACCTTTGCTCTTGAACACTTTAAAGAGGTCATGTGCAGCAGATTTGCCTAATGCAATACGTAGTTTGATTTCTTGATGGCTGCTTCCATATGTGTTGATAGCTGATCCAAACAAAATGAAATCTTTGACAACTTCAATCTTATCTCCATTTACCGTGATGTTATTTATTGGTCCAGTTTGAGTCTTGTTTATTTACATTGAGGTACAATCTATATTGAAGGCTGTGCTCTTTGATCTTCATCACTAAGTATTTTAAGTCATCTCTGCTTCCAGCAAGTGAGGTTGTATCATCTGCATATCTCAGGTTGTTAATGAGTCTTTCTTTAATCTTGATGTCACACTCTTCATATAATCCAGTTTCTCAGATTATTTGCTCAGCATGCAGATTAAATAAGTATGGTGAAAGAATACAACCTTGGCTCACACCTTTCCTGATAAACCATTCAGCATCCCCTTGTTCTATTCTAATGACTGCCTCTAAGTGTTCTGGAATGCTCATTCTTCACCATGTTAGCCATAGTTGATCATGATCCACACAGTTGAAAGTCTTTGCATAGTCAATAAAGCACAAGTAAACAGATTTCTGATAGTCTCTGCTTTCAATCAAGATTTGTCTGACATCAGCAGTGATAGCCCTCGTTCCACGTCCTCTTCTGAATCCAGATTGGATTTCTGACAATTCTCTTGTCAGTGTACTGTTGCAGCTGTTTTTCCAAATGATCTTAAGCAAAAATTTACTTGCATGTGGTATTAGTGTTTGATGATTTCTGCATTCCCTTGGGTCACGTCTCTTTGGAATGTGCACAAATATGGATCTCTTCCAATCAGTTGGCCAAGTAACTGTCTTCCAAATCTTTTGGCAGAGATGAGTGAGCGCCTCCAAGGCTGTTTGTTGAAAGATTTCAATTTGTATTCATCAATTCCTGGAACCTTATTTTTTGCCAATACTTTCAGTGCACCTTGGACTTCTTCCTTCAGGACCACCAATTCTTCTTGATCATATGCTACCTCTTGCAATAAATGAACATAGACTGTTTCTTTTTGGTACCGTGACTCTGTGTTCTTTTTTAAAAACAAAAACAAAACTTTTCTATTGTGACTTGAATGAAGGTTTACAGACAAGATCATTAGTTTACATGTATTGTTTCACTCTTCCTTCCATACCTATTTAGCCTGTGTCTCTGTCCATGCATCTACCTGTAGAACACTATGGTTCCAAGGTTGTGCATCTATCACTATTTACCTCCATTCCCTTTAACCCTTTCATACCTCCCTGTGTGTTCACCTGTCTTCATCATTCTTCTGCTAACCTCTCTCTTCTTGTATACTGCCCTCCCCATCACCTGAGTTAACATGTCTACCCTCTAGTCAGTGAATTACTTTCCCTTCTCTCCCACCCCTGGTAACCGTCAAAGAATGTTTCTTTCAGTATGAAAACCTTTTCTTGAGTTTTTACAATAGTGGTCTCTATGAAGTGGTTCGCAGATTCATTGTTATTCTTCAACATTGCATAGTATTCAATTGTGTGTCTGTACCAAAGTTTGTTTATCCAATCTTCATTGCTTCCATCTTCTTTTAATGCTTTCTGCATCATTCAGTATTTTGCTCATTGTTTCTGTTAAGTGCCATCGAGTCAGTTCCGACCCAGAGCGACCCTGTATAGGGTTTCCAAGTAGCAGCTCTTCGGCTAGTTCTCTCCTACTCATCCTTTAAATCGATGTTGAGATGGCATTTCTTTAGAAAATTTCCTGAGACAGGATTCCCTGTATGTGCTCTGGTTGTTGTTGTTGTTGAGTGCCGTTGAGTTGGTTCAGACTCTTAGCAACCCTGTGTAGGGTTTCCAAGGAGCAATTGGTGGGTTTGAACTGCCAACTTTTTGGTTAGCAGTTCAGTGCTTATCCTACAGCACCACACCAAGATTCTCTACTGTTTTCGAGGCGCCCTGTACTTGTTTCATCATAACACTTGGCCCCTCAGTGTAAATGTCTGTTCCTTTTCCCTACCATATATGGAAGGAGACAATATGCCTGTTGTATTCCCTAGTGTATACCAAGTGCCCAGCATGGGGTGTGGTCCAGTGTAGAACATCAGGGAAAAAAATCGCCCTGGTTTGATAAGTGATGGAGAGCTGCTGCAGGGAGGTGGGGCTCAGAGGAGAACCAAATGAAAGAGCTATTCATGGGCAGGTGAGCATGAAGGCTGAGCAGCAAAGAATTCCTACCCAGGGAAGAAACTGGGGGTGGGAGGAACCAACTATTGGAGGCTGCTCTTCCAAGGTCCAGATCTTCTTCCCAGTAAAGGGAACATGACTCCCTGAGCCACAGCTGCCTTCTCAGAGAGGAAGGTGGCACAGATAGCTGGAGCTGAGGCAGAAGAGTGGGACTTGTCCTGGGGAGGGGCAGACCATAGCCAGACCAGCAGATCCTGGAGCTCCTCTAGCCCGGTTTCATGAGTTCTGCTACCTCAACTAATCTCTCCTGTCTCTGCAGAGCAAGGACATACAGCCCATCCTGAGACCCTCCCCACATTCTGAGACTAAGGAGGTAAGACGGAAACCAGTGACCCAGGGAGGCCCGGGGACCTGGGGGACTGAGGGTTGAACCTCTTAGTGCTTTCTTCTTGGCCTCTCAGGTCCCTTTTGAGAAGAACTGCGGTGAGGACAAGAAGTGTGAGGCAAACCTGGAGCTGTCTTTCTCTCAAACAAGGTCTGTGAGCCTTCAAACCCACTAGGTCTTTCTGTTCCACTCTGTTTTCCTAAGGCAGCTGTTATGTGCTGGAATGAAAGACTTCCAACTCTACTCACTGGCTGTGTAGTCTGGGGAAGCCATTGTCCCTCTCTGGGCTTAGTTTTCTCATCTGAGAAATGGGAGTAATAATACCTCCTTTGGGATGTCTGTCAGGATTAGATGAGAAGGCAAAATACAAAGACTGCACACAGGTGCTTATTTTTATTGATTAATTTTCTTATGGCCTACTGGATCCTTCATTTCCAAAATTCCCACCCCAATCCTGTTTCCCTCATCTTGACCCCATAACTGTTTCCTGATGTCCTCATATCCAGAGTCCTGCGACTGACCCCCTCAGCCAGCTTCTCTGTGGAGCTAACACTGAGGAACAATGAAGAAGATGCCTACTGGGTCCATCTGGGCCTGAGCTACCCCCGGGGACTCTCCTTCCGCAAAGTGGAGATGCTCAAGGTAAGCGAGAAGGCAACGCATTCATGGACGTCATCTCTCTGCAATTTCACTCCCCTCTGAGCTGCAAGCAGCCAGGACAGCAGCTGGAATGCAGTGGTCTTTGTGTGAAACAGGATTCTTAGACTGATGGTCATCCTGTAGCTATGTATCTTGAAGCAGAGGATGGTGGTGCTTACCCACAGGGCTAGCTGAAATGAAGGATGGGAAAGAGGCTTGCAGACCGGGCACCATGTAAGCCTGGTGATGAAGAAAATCTGTTAAGGTTTAGTAAGATCCGTTATCCCCTAACAAATCACAGTGTTGCTGAAGGGTGACCTGGATTGTTTTAAATGTAGCTTCTGTTCTAAATTACTCTGATGAAAGTAGTGCACGGTCCTCATGGAAACTTAAAAATTACAGAGAAGTTTAAAGAAGAAAACCATCACCGATACTTCTGCAGCTCAGCAATGACTATTTTTTAACATTTTGGTGTTTATCCTTCTTACTTAAAAAAAAAAACAAAACCTTAATTGCTAAGTTAGCCTTCTTACTGGAGTCCTGATGTGCTGCAGGATGAGACCACAAGGTCAGTTTGAACCACAAGGTTGGCAGTTCAAGCCCACCTCAAAAAACCTCTACCTCAAAAACCCTATACAGGATCGCTATGGGTTGGAACTGACTCGACAGCACTTATAGAAACCCTATTTAGGGTTTCTGAGGAGTAGCTGGTGAGTTTGAACCACCGACTTTGTGGTCAGCTTATCCTATATACATTTATATTGTTGTGTCTCTATACACATATGTGCACATTGCACTGTATATTTATTTGTTCGGTTTGTTTGAAAGAATTGGTATTTTGTTCTCCATGTCGTTATTTGTCTAGGTTTTGTAGTTTGTTGTGGTTTTTTTTTCACTCAATGTTGTGTAATGAGAGGTCCCTTTGGTCGTGAGTGATTGGTCTTCAGCAACACTAAATGGTTCTTTGAGGAGCATGTAGCAGAGTGATTAAGAAATTGAGCTCTAAAATGAAAACAGATCTGGGTTCAAGTCCCTACCAGATCCCTGCTGTTACCTAGTAGGAGAAATCACGAAATCTCTACTGCACAAGACTGTGATGACGATTAAGTCGCTTCATAATACTTAGCACAGGGTCTAGCTAGTGGTAACATTGAAAAATAGTTGCTAAATCTGTGGGTAGGTATAGCAGCATTTTAACACTCTCATGATAGTGCCTCCTCTCATTGTATCATAATTACTGAACCATTCCCATCTCTTTAGGATACTTGAATGTATCCTATTTTTCACTATTTTCACCTTTGCAATGAACATCTTTGTAGTATGCCTCTGTCTGTGCCCAGTTCTTTGGCCTTGGCTCTCTGAGTGTTCAGGGACAGAAACCTGGAGGAGATGGGCTGAGGGCATCCAGGAAACCCTTACTCTTGCCCATCAAAAAGCTCTCTCTCTCTCTCCTCACTCGTAGCCCCACAGCCAGATGCCTGTGAGCTGTGAGGAGCGTCCTGGGGAGTCCGCGCTTCATACCAGTATCCTCTCTTGCAATGTGAGCTCTCCCATCTTTAAGGCCGGCAGCTTGGTGAGTGCCTCAAGTCCCTAGGAACCAAGGAGCCAAGGGATGATGAGCTGGCAGAGGGAAGGGGTATGGTGACTGGCAACTCTCTACCCCAAGAGGAATGTATGCTGGCTATTTTAAGTCATGTTTGAAAGCCTGAACTTTGGAATCAGACAAATTTGAGATTGGATTATTTGTTTTGTGACTTATATATGTGATGTAACCATTGGGAGCCTAGATTTCCTCATCTATACAATGGAGATCAAACACCTAACCCAGTGTTTAAGATGTAGTAAATACTCAGTTGTTGTTGTTGTTGTGTTCCATGGAGTCGGTTCCGACTCATAGCAACCCTGTACGGGGTTTCTGAGGCTGTAAATCTTTATGGGAGCAGAAAGCCTCATCTTTCTCCCACGGAGCAGCTGGTAGTTTTGAACTGCTGACCTTGCGGTTCGCAGCCCAAGTCGTAACCACTATGCTACCAGAGCTCCTAAATGCTCAGTAAATGGTGATTACTATTATGGTCAGTGGGGATGGGACTATGAGGGGCTAGGGCTGCTCCCTGAGGCCCAGGCCCTTGCTTCTTCATTCCTTCTCCTTCCCTGCCAGGTTGTTGTCAAGGTGATGTTTCACACGCTGCTGAACAGCTCCTGGGGGGACTTTGTTAAGCTGCATGCCAACGTGAGCTGGTGAGCAAGCCCTGTCAGCATCACTATCCTGGTTTCCGATTACCATGCAGTCTTGGCCAAACCCTTCTCCTAACTCTGACCTCTCCCTTGCTCCAACACAGTGAAAACGAGGACTCAGGCTTCCTGAAGGACAACACGGACACCACCAGAATCTCAGTCTTGTACCCCATCAATATTCTCATTGAGGAGTGAGTGAGTCTGTTCGGGCAGCCACCTAACTTCCTCCCACCCAGGCCTCTTCCTCTAAATCCAGGGAGTAATTAGAACTGATTCCAATTACAACCTTCAAGAGAGTAAAGGTCAATAATTGAATGAAACAAAATAATTGAATGCTAATCATATGCTGGTACTGGCTTCCCTGCATGGTTGATGGGACTTCTAGCTAAACCTCCCTTCATTTTATTAATGTGCAAACGGAGGCTCAGAAAAGGGAGGTACTTGGCCCAGGTCACACAGTCAGGAAGTACTGAAGTCAGTATTTGAACTTAAGTCTGTGTGACTCCAAAGGTCCAGGAGAGTTCTTTACTGTTTCTAACAGTGTTGTAGGAGCCCTGGAGGTGCTGGATAAAAGGATAAAAGCTGGACTGCTATCTCCAAGGCAGGCAGTTCAAACCCACCAGCCGCTCCATGGAATAAAGAGGAGACTTTCTGCTCTTGAAAAGACGTATAGCCTCAGAAACCCTATACAGGGTTGCTTAGAGCTGGAATTGACTTGATGACAGTGAGTTGCTTGTTTTTGTTGTTGTTGATTTAGAAAGGCTATGAGCAAAGTGTTCACCATGGTCCTTGTTCTAGGGGAGCTTCCAGTTAAGTTGGAGAGATCAAAAACTCAGACTCAAGGAATCAGCGAATCTGAAAAAGTTGTGTGACGGGAAGGACAACTAGTTGTATTTTCTCATTTACAGAAAAGGAAACGGAGCCTAGAAATGTAGAGTAGCTTTCTCAAGAGGATTCAGTGAAGTAAGGACAGGGACAATGCCCAAGCCCAGTGCTTTGGCTTAAATGTCAAACAGATGATGAAGTGTGTTATGAAACTGGAGCCGGGGAAGATGAGGGTGGGTCAGAGGAGAGGTGGAAGGCCCTGAACCTGGTACCTGAAGGATGGTGAAATTTGGATCAAGGTCAAGAAAGAGGGAGAACTTTCTCATAAGAGAGAATATTGTAGGGGAGGCATGGAGCAGGAGGGGACAAGCTCAGCAGAGGACAAATGTGTGCAAGGGAGCAATGGGAAGGCATACTGGGAGGACAGGCGGGTCCAGACTAGACCTGACTCACCTGTGAATCAGCGAGCCATTGATGGTTTCTGAGTGGTAGGGTCCGAGAGTGACGTTAGGAAGGTTAGTCTAGTCATGACCATTTAAAGACTGGGAGAGGGAGTCCGCAATCTCCCAGTGAGACTGACAAGATGATCTCGGAGCTGAACAGTGGGGCCTAGACTACACTAGTTAACACTGGGAAGGTGATGTGGGGAAGACTTGAGCTCCAAAGCACTTTGCTCCAGGTTCCAGACCTGCTTCTCTCCTTTGGACTCCTCCCAGAAGTCTCAGTTTCCACAGGGAAGCACAAGGTTGTTGTCAAGCTTCGGTGAGATCAAGACTGTGCCGTATGTGGTACAATGACTGGCAATTCAGAGACTTGCCCTGGCCGAGGCCCCTGTCCTCCTGCGGAGTGTGCTGCTGTCTCTGCCATCTTGCTCTTCTTTCTCTTGACAGCCAGGAAAACTCCACACGCTACATCAGTTTCACCCCCAAGGGTCCCAAGATTCAGCATGTCAAGCACATCTATAAGGTATGACCCTTTATGTGAAAATGTTCTTAGAGGTCCTGTCTTGAGAACCTGAGAGCTAAGGATTCAGAGACCAGTTTAGACACAGTCCTATCTTCAATGAGGCTGGCCCTCCACCCAGTTCTGTAATCTGACGCAGCTTCACGCCCTGTGTAGGTACTTCCAGAGGCAGGATACTCACTAGCTGCTCTCCACAACTCAATAGGTTCTAGACTCACAAAACTTGAGAGTGAAAAGGGCTCTGGGAGAGAACCTAGTTTTTATTTGTTTTATTGTGATGAAATATATACAACATAAACTTCACCTTTTTAATGGTACAGTTTAATGGCATTAATTACATTCACAATGTTGAGTAACCATCACTTTTATTTCCCAGTTTTCATCACTCTCCCCTAGAAATGCATTCACTGGAAAATAATTCCCCATTGTCCCTTTCCCCAGTTCCTGGTATACTCTAATCTACTTTCTGTCTTTAGCAATTTGCTTATTCTAGATATTTCTTTAAGTAGGATGATACAATGTTTGTTTTTTTAAATCTGTTTTATTTCACTTAGCATGTCTTCAAGGTTCAATCATGTATGAGAACTTCATTTCTCTTTATGGCTGAGTAATATACCATATATGGACAGACCTAATTTTCTTTACCATTCATCAATTGATGAGCACTGGAGTTGTTCTCATTGTTTGGCTCTTGTGAATAATGCTTCTAGGAACATTGGTGGACATGTAGCTTTTAGAGCCCTGCTTTCAGTTTCTTGTAGTATATGCTGAGGAATGGAATTCTGTGTTGAACTTTTTTGAGAAAGAAGCAAACTGTTCTCCACAGTTGCTGCATTTTACATTCCCAGCAATGAATGAGGGTTCTAATTTCCCCACATTCTTGCCAACACTTGTTATTGTACTTTTTATTATTATTACTATTCTAGCCATACATGGTAAGGTCTCTGGGGGTGGGGGTGCACTGCTAACCTCAAAGTTGGCGGTTGAACACACTCAGAAGCACCACCGGAGAAAAGCCTTGCAGTCTGGTTCTGTAACGACTACAGCCAAGAAAACTCTACGGAGCTCAGTTCTACTCTGACCCACATGGGGTGGCCATGAACCTAAATCAACACACAGGCTTGAATTGGGTCTTAGTGTGGATGATGTGGTTGTCATGGTGATTTTGTATTTACCTAAGATGTTGAGCATCTTTTCATGTGTTTTTTATTCTTTTGTGTATCTTCTTTGGAGAAAAGTCAATTAAAATCCGTTGCCCATTTTTTTTTTCCTTAAGTTTTTATTGTGAATTGAGTAAAAGTTTACAGCGCAGATTATCAGTTTTACATTCAACAAATCATATACTTTGTTACATTACAATGATTATAATTCCCTCCATATACCATCAGTTAACAGTATTTCTCTCTATTCCTTTTATCTCTTTAAAAAACAAAAAACACTCAGGCATATATAATAATTTAAACCACCAAAGGGCACGTTCTGCAAATCTGCCTCCTTGTGGCCAGCTCTCAGTCCCTCTCTTTCCATGAGTCTAGAGTCTCCATGTCCTTATCTCTGCCTCCATCTCTGGTGTTACCTCTCTGGATAAGGTCCCGCATTCTGCTCATGCTCTTCTCCCTTGATGGTTCTAGGATCCTCTGTTTCTGGACTGTAAGATTAACTACGTTACGTCCCTGTTTTTGTTACAAAACTTCTACCTTTACAGTTGTGACAGTTGCAATTAGTCATGATAACAATTACTCACTATTGAATCATAAGAATCTTATCCCCATCTCCTTTTACCAGACCCATCTAGACAAGATGACCTTTGCCCATTTTTAATGGAGTGGGTTACCTTTTTGTTATTGATGATAGTAATTCTTTATAGATTCTGGATATACATACAATTTGTGGGTCATCTTCTTACTTTCTGATAAAGTCCTTTTATCTATTTTGTCTCTTTTTGCTCATGCTTTTGATGCCATATCTAGAGAACCTTTTTTTTTTTAAAAAACATTTCATGAACCACTCTTCTAGTTCAGGTACCTTGCTAGGCGCTGGAGCAGTAAGAAATAACAGAGTCCCTGTCCTCAAGAGAAAACAGATCTATGAACACAGAAGCAATTTATTTACAATTCCCACTCACCAAACAGGAGTTTTGGACTACATGCCTAGTGCTTCCTATCTATAACCTCCAATAATCTCATGATTCTTGTATGACAGCTACTGTCCTTCCCATTTTACAGATAACATATCTGTGACACAGACCAGTTTAGCTATTTTCCAGGCTACACAGCTGTCAGGGGAAGTGAGCAGGTTTGAGCACAGATTTGAAGGTAGAAACCCATGTGTTTAATCACTGAGTGATTGTCTGCTGCTCCACTGCACTATCAAGTATTCCTGGAGAGTAGCCGCAGCTCTCACCCCCATGACACTAGGTCACCACTGAGAGGACATTTCATTTGATAGTGAAGGAAATGAGGGCCCCAAGGGGGAAGTCATTCAAGGTCACACTAGAGTCTGGACACACTGGGGCAGCTGCCCCGACAGGGAAGTGGCCCCATCAGCTGGAGCCCACAGAAAAGGGCTGCTGTGAGCTCAGCAGGATACAGCGCTGAGGGGAGGGGAACATGGTCTTTGAGGAAGTCAGACATTCATTTGCATTAAACTGGCTGATTTAAAGAAGTAGTTGAATTGGCTTCTGGTGCAGTTTGCGGGAAAGAGCCCGGGTTTCCTGAAGAGGTTAGCGTGGCATGAGCCCAACCCCAGAATAATGGTAAAGAGTCAGGACTGCCTCTGAATCCCGTATCCTTGGCTTGCTCGGGTCTCAGTTCCCTCCTTCGGTAACCAACAAAACCAAATCACTTGGTGTTGAGTGAATTCCAACTCTTGACAACCCCATGTTTTCCAGAGTAGAACTGTACTTCATAGTTTTCTTTCCAAAGAAGGACACCAGGCCTTTCTACAGAGGCACTCTGGGGAGGATTTGAACTGCCAACCTTTCAGCCAGTAGCTACGCGTTTAACCGTTTATGCTACCCAGGGACTTCTACCTATGGAAAATGGAGTTTTAACTAAGAACCTCACAGGGGGTTGTGAAATTTTTAAATAAGTTGTTTTGTTGTTGTTGTTGTTGTTAGTGCTGGTTGAGTTGGTTCTGACTCATAGCAGCCCTATATAGGGTTTCTGAGGAGCAACTGGCAAGCTTGAACGGCCCACCTTATAGTTCAAACCCTTGAGATGAGTGCTTATCCTGTAGTGCCACACCTCCCTGTAAAGTGCTCCTCAGGGAACTGAGGAAGTGAAGTGGAGGTGGTTAGCCCAGTCAGGTAGGTGAAGTGCTACTTTGGAAGCCTCCTTAAACTTCAGCCTCACTCAACCTGGAACCAACTCAAGTCCCTTGAGCGTCCGCCCTCTCCTTACTTGAAAGCATCATCTGGGCTGGACAACTCTATCCATCCCTCTATCCACCATGCATTTGGCTTCCCACTGCTAGTCCACCAAACAGCCACTCCTACTGAAGATTTCCCTGTTACCTAAACCCAGTCCTGTTGTAGTGCTGTAGGCTAAACACTGAGCCACAAACATCGGTTTGAACCACAGGATTGGCAGTTAAAACTCACCAGGCGCTCCTCAGAAACCCTATACAGGGTCGCTATGAGTCGGAACCACTCAACGACACTTAACAACAAACCCAGACAGTGCCCTTAAAACTCGCCATGGCATGGAGCACCAGTGATCTATTCATGTCCTGAAGCTGCCATATTGGTCAGGTCCTTTTGGCCACAAGATCAACTCTCATAATTGGAGTTTATTGTAAGTTAGGAGTCCTGCAGGGTAAACAGTAGACTACTAACTGAAAGATCGGCAGTTCTTTTTTTTCTTTTTATTACTTTTTTAAACTTTTTATTGTGATTTAAGTGAAGATTTACAGACAAGATCATCAGCTTCACATTTAACAAATCCTACATTTTGTTTCATCTCAAAGATTGCAATCCCCTCCCTGTAACAACAGCTATTCCACTTTCTCCTTGCGGTTCCCATTTTCATTCCACCCACCTTCCATTCCTTCTCAGCTTTGTCCTTAGGTAAATGTTGCCATTTTGATTTTGAATGGTTGACCATTCCGTGGGGAGCATACCTTACTAGTGTGGGTGTCCCCCCTATATGCTTATCTACTGCTGGGCTTAAAATTGGAACACGAGGATGAGTTCCCTTTCAGACAAGAAGGGTGGTTGAGGGCCATAATTTCAGGTTCTTCCAGCCTCTTTCTGACTGGTAAATCTGGTCTTCTTAAAAAATAATTTTGAGTTTTGTTCCACATTTTCTCCTACTCTATAAGGGACCTTCTAATGTGATCCCTTTCAGGGCAGTTGGTAGTGGTAGCTGGGCACCGTCTAGCTCTTCTGGTCTCAGTCATGGAGACTGATGTTCACATGTTCCATTAGTCCATTGGCTTAATTGATTCCAGGCATCTTCATTTCTCGTCACTCTTCTTTCTTCTGCACATGAAGAGACCAATAGCTGCGCCTTAGATGGCCACTCATGAGTTTTTAATATCCCAGATGCTATTTACCAAAGTTGGATGTAGACCATTCTCTTTGTGGACTTTGTTATGTCAGTTGACCATGGGGTCCCCTGAAACTATGGTCCTGAGCCCCCAGGCTGAGCAACTTACCTTAAGAAGTTTGATAATATCTAAGAAGTTTTCATCATTTTGCAGGTTGGTAGTTCAAATCCACCAGCTGATTCAAGGGAGAAAAATGAAGGGTTTTGTGCCCATAAAAGATTTACAGCCTCAGAAACCTGATGGGGGTCACTATGAATCAGAATGAGTCCTGGTGTGGTGTTGTGGGCTAAAGCACAGTCTTTTGAACTGCAAGGTCAGTGGTTCAAGTTCACCGGCTGCTCCTTGGAAACCCTATACAGGGTGGCTATGGGTCGGAATCAACTCAACGACACTTAACAACAACAACAACATGAGTCAGAATCAACTTGATGGCACTGGATTCAGTTTTGTTTTATCAGTTGTTGTTGTTGTTATGTGCCGTGGAATCGGTTCCGACTCATAGCGACCCTGTACTGGGTTTTCGAGGCTGTAAATCTTTATGGGAGCAGAAAGCCTCATCTTTCTCCCGTGGGACAGCTGGTAGTTTTGACCTGCTGACCTTGCAGCTCACAGCCCAATTTGTAACCACTACGCTATCAGAGCTCCTTCAGTATTTCATTCCTTTTCATGACTGAACATTTCATTACATGGTGGTGGTGGTGTGCTGTGGAGTCAGTTCTGACTCATAGCAACCTTGCCTGCATAGGGTTCCCATGGCTGTAAATCTTTATGGGAGCAGAAAGCCTCATCTTTTTCCTGCAGAACTGCTGGTAGTTTTGAACTGCTGACTTTGTGGGTAGCAGGCCAATTTGTAACTATTATGCTACCAGAGCTCCTTTTTCACTACATCTATCTACTATATTCTGTTTATCCATTTATCCATTGGTGGACATTTGGGCTCTCTCTACCTTTTGGCTATTATGAAGAGTGCTGCTTTGAATGTGCATGTGAATGTAGTTGTTTGAACATCTGTTTTCCATTCTCTGGGGCATATACCTAAGAGTGGAGTTTCTGGGTCATATGATAATTTTACAGTTAACTTTTTGAGAAACCACCAAGCTGTGTGTGTCAGGGGTGTGTTCTTTCACCATACTTATTCAACCTGTATGCTGAGCAAATAATCCAAGAAGCTGGCTTATATGAAGAAAAACATGGTATCAGAATTAGAGGAAGACTCATTAACAACCTGCTATATGCAAATGATACAACCTTGCTTGCTAAAAATGAAGAGGACTTAAAGTATTTACTGATGAAGATCAAAGAGCACAGCCTTCCGTATGGATTGCTTTTCAATGTCAAGAAAACAAAAATCCTCACCACTGGACCAATAAACAACATTCTTATCATAGAGAAAAGATTGAAGTTGTCGAGGAATTCTTTCTTCTTGGATCAACCATCAACACTCATGGAAGCAGCAGTCAAGAAACCAAACATCGTATTACATTAGGCAAATCTGCTACACAAGACCTTTTTAAAGTGTTGAAGAGCAAAGATGTAGGACTAAGGTGCACCTGATCCAAGATATGGTATTTTCAATAACCTCATATGCATGTGAAAGCTGGACAGTGAATAGGGAAGACCATAGAAGAATTGATGCTTTTGAGTTATGGTGTTGGAGGAGAATATTGAAAGTGCCATGGGCTGTCAAAAGAATAAACAGATCTGTGTTGGAAGAAATGCAGCCAGAGTGCTCCTTGGAGGCCAGGGTGGCCAAACTTCGTCTCTCCTACTTCGGACATATTGTCAGGAGGGACCAGTTGCTGGAGAAGGATAGCATGTTTGGTAAGGTGGAGGGTCAGAGAAAAAGAGGAAGACCCCCAGCAAGATGGATTGGCAAAGTGGCAACATCAATAGGCTCAAGCATGGCAACAGTAGTGAGGTTGGCCCAGGACTGGGCAGTGTTTCATTGTGCATAGGGTTACTATAAGTCGGTACCAACTTGATGGCACCTAACAACAACATCAATAACCAAGCTGTCTTCCAGAGTAGCTGCACTATTTTACATTCCCACCAGCAATGTGATAGGGTTTCAATTTTATCACACTATCACCACACTTATTATTTTCTAGGTTTTTTTTGTTTGTTTAATTTTAGCCATCTTATTGGGGATTACGAATCAGGCTGCTAACCTCAGGGTCAGCAGTTCTAAACTACCAGCTGTTCCGTGAGAGAAAGATGAGGCTTTCTGCTCCTGTAAAGATTTACAGCCTCAGACACCCTGTACAGGGTTGCTTTCAGTCGGAACCGACTCCACGGCACATCATAACATTGGGGCTAAAGTGGCACCTCTTATGGTTTTGATTTGCACATAATTGTTCCTCTTGAACTTTACTCTCAACATGTCCTAAAGCAAATTTATCATCTTGTCCCTATAAAGCAGCATTTTTTTTTTTTTTTCTGGCTTGTGGGAATCCTTATTCCCTAAAGCATAACTTCCAAGTCTGAATGAATTTCTTTCTCCACGCCGAGTCCCACTGCCTCCTCAAGTTCTGTGGTCTCCATCCACTTCTCCCTGTTGTCCCTGCTACTGCGCAGGCTCAGTTCCTCATCTTCTTGCACCTGGACTATGGAGATAGGTTTCCAACTTGGGCTTTAGAGTCACCTTTCCTAGTTCCTGCTCATCTCATGCCTGCAATGGATAAATCTCCCCGGAACCACTTTTTTCCTCAACTACCTTCCATAGCTCCCTGTTGCCTGGTAGATGGTACCCAGCTCTTTCCCCTCAGGTCTTCCAGGTCGCACAATGTGATCTCAATCCACCTTTCCAGCTTCATCTCTATCTATCTCGCCTTCCCAGATCCCCTGTCCTCCAGCCACTGCACAGTCATGTGGTGCTGCCCTAATTCCCTATCTTTTTCCTCTCTGGATGCTCTCCCTCATCTTCATCTGTTGAGAACTGGTCTCTCTTTTGTAGTTCAGCTCAAATGCTACCTCTTTCATTGGTCATTGTTATTACCCAATGTGTGTCAAAGTAGAATTGTTTCATAAGGTTTTCAAGGCTGTGACCTTTCTGAAGCATGTTGCCAGGGCTGCCTTTTGAGGTACTTCTGGGTGGATTTAGTGTGCCAATTTTTCAGCTTGTTGTTGAGCGCTTAACTGTCTGCACCACTGTGAAACTTCCCTCTTTCATTAACCCACTGCCACTGAGTGAATTCCGACTAACAGAGACCCTATAAGACTATGACCCTAGAGTTTCTGAGACTGTACATTTTGACAGGAGTAGATAACCTCATCTTTCTACCATGGAGCAACTAGTGGGTTTGAACTAGCCTTGTGGTTAATAGCTCAATGCTTAACCCACTACACCACCAGCGTTTCCTCTCTTTCATTAGGTCTTTTAAGTTTAATTGGTATGTTTCCAAATGTCCACAAATGTTTGTTGAATTAATAAATAAGTAATAGGACGCTCCAAAGAAATTGCTACCCATTTCCTCAGCTCACATGTCCGTGCCTTTGGTTCTGTCAGCCGCCCTTGATATGTCCTCCTTGGTGACTCTCGTATGTCACTTTTCGTGGATATTTCTGTGTAGCCTAGCTTTAGCATAGAAAACTCTTAAGAGATACTGGAAAACGTTCATACAAATGCACAGTTGCTGAAATGAGGCTTTCCCAGCCTGTGTCATGCAAATGATTTTTCCATCTTTAAAGTTTTTTAAACGTTGTTATGGAGCAGATTCCAATTCATAGTGACCCTATAGAATAGTCGAGAATTATTCCAAAGGGTTTCTAAGTCTGTCATCTTTACAGAAGCAGACCGCCACATCTTCTCCTACTGAGTGAGTGGTGAATTTGAACCACTGACCCTTTAGTTAGCAGACAAGTAAAATTCTATGGCACCAGCTGGTGCAATAACTTTTTTCCATTTATCTTTGCTAAATGATTATATTCTAGGTATTGTGCCATCAAGTAGGGAATTAAAGGTGAAAAAACACACAGCTCCTGCCCTCACAAAGCTCACAGTGGATGCACAGATATACAAGAAAATAAACTGCCATCCTGCTGGGGATTTAAAGTGTTGTAGAGACACAGGAGGGGATGTTGTCCTGTCCTTTGAGAGTCAGCAAAACCTCCAGAGATGATAATTGAACACTTGAACAAGGCCTGGCAGGGTTTGAGCAGTTGGCCACATGGAGAAAGCAGGGAGGAGATGTACCCGAGACCCTTAAGGTCTTGGGAACAGGGGCCTGGTGTGCTTGATCACTCCACACTACTAACAAAGAACAGGCTCTTGGGACTTAGTCACTGAGTCTGGAGGAGGTGGGAGAATCTGGAGGACCAGAGCTGCGAGACTGGCATGCAGAGCTCTACAGCCCCATGTTCTCTGTGCAGGTGAGGATTCAGCCTTCTATCCACAACCATGACATGCCCACCCTGGAGGCCTTGGTTGGGGTGCCACAGTCTCACAGCAAGGGTCCCATCACGTACAGCTGGAGTGTGCAGACGGTGAGTACTCCCCAGAGTGGGGAAGGAACAAGGGTCTATTAGGGGTGGGCTCAGAAATGGATGCTAGAGATGTAGGAAGGGAGAGAGGATGACAGAATCCTGTCTGACTCAGTGGTGTCTGGACCCACCAAGGGCCAGTGCAGGAGAAGAAATGGAATAGCCAGGTCTTACCTGGGCTGGTGGCAAGGAATGCTAGGTTCTGGTGCTAGTGTCTTCTCTTTGCTCTGGACTAAGGACCCCATCCCATCATTCTTAGGAGCCTCCTGTCATGTGTCATCATGAGGTTCTGAAGAGGCTGCCCAGTGCCGCTGCTGAGGTACAGGCACGTGAGGTGGGGGAGTAGGGGGGGGTAGGGCAGAATGTGAGGGCGTAGGGGGAAGCGGGAGACAAACCTCTCGGATTTCCCCACTATTCCTTGTCTACATCAGCCCTGCCTCCCTGGAACCGAGTTCCACTGCCCGGGTATCTTCAAACAGGAGACCCTCATCCAAGTAACTGGAGAGTTCAAGCTCGTGGGAGAGATTGAGGTAATATCCACCTGCTCATAACAGACAGGATGTGGTTGTGGGGGCGCAGAAGCCTTGGCTACATAGTGGTGAGTGGGCTTCCCTACCAGATAGGTTTTTTCCATTTCTTTTATCTATCTTAATGAAAAAATCCCCGATATTTATACAATTGCTGAGGAAACAGAATGATGATTTGTTTTAAATGTACAGGTCTATTTGCCTGGGCCTACGGGTAGTTCATATTCCTTATCATATAAGAAAATCAAAAAGCTTTCCTCCCAGCCGTGCCAGGTGGCACTTTAAGATGCTACCGTGAGACTTGAAGAGAGGTGGCACCCCACACTATGTACATTTCTCTCTACTTCTCTCCATTGAGTAGGTTCAGAAGTCCATTGGTCCTTGATCCTTGTTCTCTGTGACCCTGATGCCTATTCGCACTCCCTCACAGGCCCCCTCCATGTTCAGCCTCTGCACCTCCCTCTCCATCTCCTTCAACAGCAGCAAACACTTCCACCTCTACGGCAGCAATGCTTCCCTGGCCCAGGTACCTCCCCTGGGGAAACAGACAGTTGAATGGACTGAGGAGCCCAGAGCACAGCTAGCAAGGAAAGGGCTACAGGGCTGAGCACAGATAAAACCTTCCAATAGCCAGAACCATAGTACTGAAAAGGCTTCCTTGAAAGTGAGCCCCCCAAACAGACCTCAAGACCACCTGTCTGAGATGTTGCAGACTCATATGCAAAGAGGAATGTTGGCTCATCAAAGGGATATCAGCCCAATAGCCACCCAGTAAAGAACTGGGCACAATGAGAAGAGCAGCAAGTTCAGAGGCCCAGGGTGGAGAGCTAGAAGTTCCGGCTGACTGGCAGGTAGAGAAGGAGAAGGGAAGATGAAGCTAGAAGGGTAAACAGAAGTCAGATTCTAGAAAGTTTTGAGCTAAGAATCTGGTACTTTACCCTGGGGCTGATGGGAAGCTGAGGCTCTATAGAGAGAGAGGGTCACAGTCCAGATGAAGATTGGTAAACCTAGGAATCAGGACTTGTGTCAAAGGTAATCTCAGAGGTAAAAAGGACTTCTTCCCTGCCTTTCTCTCGTCCCTCCTCCCAGGTCATCATGAAGGTTGATGTTGTGTATGAGAAGAACATGCTCTATCTCTATGTGCTGAGTGGCATCGGCGGACTCCTGTTGCTGCTGATGATTTTCATAGTGCTCCACAAGGTGGGAGCTTCTGGAAATTTTGAGCATCGCTAAGACAGCTTTAGGACAGGGAGAATTAACAGGCATCAGAGAGGAGAATCCCAAGACCAGGGAGCATTCAAGCTAGAAAGGGTCTCAATCAACCTCCTCCTTCTTCAGCTAAGGTGACTGAGGTCCGAAGAGCAAGAGAGACTTTTTCACCCCAGAATGAAATATTCAAGGGAGAGGAAAGAATGTCTCTAGGTCAAGGGCTTCCTGAGTGCCAGGCATTGTACCAGGCACTAGGAAACAGAGGTGCATACATAAACATGGTTCTTGCCTTTTTGGAGGTCACAAGGGAAGACAGACAGGAACAAGCATGAGGGGATTATAAAAAGGGCCTATGTGCTCTGGAGCCTATAACAGAAGGCTTCAGCTAGGTTGTGTGGAAAGGGCATTTGATCTGGGATTTAAAGGATAAGAAGCTAACCAGGTGAAGAGTAGTTGGGGTGAAATGGGGGGGCGGTCAAGTGTTGCATGTAAAAGGCTCAAATGAGGACCTAGAAAATAAAAACTGCTCTCTATTGCTCGTCTAGAGTTGTTGTTGTTGTTGTTGTTGTTGTTGTTGTTAAGTGCCCTCGAGTCGGTTCCGACCCATAGCGACCCTGTACATTAAAAACCATTTAGTTTATATTTCTCCAGTTTTATAATTTTTTGTACATGTATGAAGTGGCTTCAGAAAGTTTGTGGAAAAAATCCATGATCTTTGTTTTTGGTTTTGCTTTTTAACTTTGTATTGTGATTTGGGTGAAGGTTCATAGAGCAGATCTGTTTTCCAGTCAACAATCTGTACACATTTTGTCTCATCTCATTGATTGCAATCTCCACAATTGAAATCACTATTCCGTTTCCTCCCTGGGTTTCCTGTTTATATTCATCATTCTTTTCTAATCTGCCTGAACTTTTTCCTTGGATAAATGCTGCCCTTTTGATTTCAAGTGTCTGTTGAGTTTAAGGTATATATACCCCTTATAGACCTGTCTGTTGTTTGGCTTAATATTGACCCATCGGGGTGAGTTCAATTCCAGGTCTGAAGAGTGACTTAGGGCCATAGTCTCAGAGGCTCCACCAGTCTCTCTCAGTCCAGTAAACCTGGTCTGTTTAGTGATTTTGAGTTTTGTTCCACATTTTCTCCCATTCTGTGTATTGTTGTTAAGTGCCTTCGAGTTGGTTCTGACTTATACCGAACCTCTCTAGGGTTTCCAAGGTGAGACTGGTGGATTTGAACCACCAACCTTGTGATTCATATTGACCTTGTGGTCTAGAGCATTATCCTGCAATGTGCTTGGCAGTGGTAACTGGTTGTGTAGTCGGTTCCAACTCACAGCAACTCTGAATAGGGTTTCTGGAGGCTGTTAAATTTTTACGGAAGCAGAAAGCCTTGTCTTTCTCTAGTGGAGTGACTGATAGTTTTGAACTGCCGACCTTGTGATTAGCAGCCCAACTCATAACCCACTACACTACCAGAGCTTCTTAGTGGTAACTAGACACCATCTAGTTCTTCTGGTCTCAGGGTTGTGAAAACTGATGTTCATGTGGTCTATGAGTGCACCGGACTAATTGTTTCCATGTTTCTTCAATTTCCATCTTTCAGACAGGGAGAGAAGAACAGTTGTATCTTAGATGACCATTCATGAGCTTTTTAAGACCCCAGTTGCTGCTCACCAAAGTAGGATGTACATACCGTCTTTGTGGGCTATGTTATGCCAATTGACCTAGGTGTCCCCTAAAACTATGATGCTGAGCCTCTGAGTCCTACAATTCATTCCCTTAATAGGCCTGCTTATATCTAAGACATTTTCATCACTTTGCCCCTGTATGCTCTACCACACTCATTGATATTATTTGCAGCAAATATAAATACCCACATACATATACCCTCTGTCCAGCTATATATATGCATAGGTATACTCCCCCTTTCCTTCCCACACCTGTTCAGCCTGTATATCTATCCATCAAATTCCTTTACCTTTTCACTCCATTTTTCTATGAACTTGTTGAAGCCCCCTCATATATGTACCTATATATGTATGAGAAAGTCAGTTTTTCTGTATATATCTAGAAGATGTAAGTGGAATGATGCTCTCCTGCCTGGAGTTTATATTTTCCAGTTGATCTTATATCTTTTTTTTTTTTTAATCTTATATCTTGATGTTTTCCATAACAGCATAATTGGACCACCTCTTGCATTTTAACCAAAGACTACTCAAAATGTGCCACCGTTTATTTAATAAGCTTCCTATAGATGAGGATTTGAATTGTTTCTAACATACACCTGTTTTATAAAATGTCTTCCCCTCCTCCCAAATATACTCTTATTACCTATATAGTTAAGGAGCTTTGGTAGCGTAGTGGTTATGAATCAGACTGCAAACTGCAAGGTCAGCAGTTCTAAACTACCAGCTGTTCTGCGGGAGAAAGATGAGGCGTTCTGCTCCCGTAAAGATTTACAGTCTCAGAAACCCTGTACAGGGTCACTATGAGTTGGAACCGACTCCACCGCACATAAACACCATCACCTATACAGTTACACACTTGTCCAAATATTATTTAGGATTGATACCTAGAAGGGGAATTGCTGGATCAATGAGTTTTAAGCTTCCAATAGCCAGCACATGGCACCTAATAAGTACTTTCTAGATGTTGGTTCTATCTTTTAGTAATACTAGATATTGTCAGTTCACCTACCTAAAAGATTGGTGCATGACCTTTTAAAAATAGCCTCTGTTTTCTAGAATAGTTTTAGATTTACAGAAAAATTGTGTCTAAAATATAGTCCCTATATAGTCCCTCCATCCCTGCACCCTGTTTCCCCTATTAACACCTTGCATTCCTGTGACACATTTATTGCAATTGAAGCAATATTGATATATTAGTAATTGACATTTTGATGAGCCTAAAGAACAAACTGTCCAATGCATAGCTTTAAGAGATTGCCAGAAATTGTGAGCAGTAGGTATCATCACCCCATCTGAGCACCACGTGTTTGTAGCATCTGTGATTTAGGAACACAAACAGAGTTTTCACGTTTCACTGACGCAGTCTGATCCAAAGTGCGCTGTTGATTGTTTGCTTACTCCGTTTTTGTCTCCCCACAGATTGGCTTCTTCAAACGGAAACTGAAGGAGAAAATGGAAGCTGACACAAGTGCCCCAAATGGAATTCCTGAAGAAGGTTCTGAGAAGCCAGCATCTCTGGAGGAGGCCATGGACCCTGGCTGCCTGGAGCCCCTCCACAAGGAGGAGGCCCCGGATGGAGAGACAAAGACTGAGGTCCAGGCCTGAAGCACAGAGAATCCAGCTCAGACTCTGGATGCCTAGACTGGTCTACCTGGACCTGCATTCTACTGTGTGTTCTTGGGCAAGTCGTTGACCCTCCACAGGCCTCAATGTCCCTGTCTCAAACATGAAACTCATTCCCACCTGCTCCACTGGAGGCTTATGAGAAAGCTCAGTTTGAAGGACTGGCCAGGAAGGCTACAGAGATGTGGGCTTGAACTATCAGATCTTCTTGGCTCCCACAGCCCCTCCTGGACCCTTTCCCAGAAGGAGAATGTCTGTTCTAAATTTGGAGAAACTGTTGTCTAAGGACCTGAAGTCTGCCCCCTGCATCCTGCTGCCTTTGAATGTCCACAGCCACCACTGAGCTGTCCTGCCCTCCCTCCTGCCTGAGCCCAGTCAGCCTGCTCTTCTTCAAAAGAGAGCACATCTGATCTGTGTTACGCAGTGTTGTGGCAAGCTCCTTACGCTCTAGTTAAGGGCGACATGTCTTCTAAGGCTCTACAAAAGGGGGCCCCTGTTGCCCTCCTCAGCTTCCTCTAGAGATACCCTCTTCCTTATCTAAGCTCCAGCTCTACCACCTTCCTCATGTGCCAACCTCTCTCCTGTCATGTTCCCAGATTGCTCCCTCTGCCTACAAGATCTCCCCCATTTCCTGGCTAGTTCTCACTCAGTCTTCAGATTTCAGTTTATGCATGGCTTCCTGAGAACAGCCCCAGCCAGTCCATTGTACTTGGGTTCCCACAGTATACATTCCTGTAACAGGACCAGGCAGTGTTTTCATCTGTTGTACATTGGATCGTTGAGTTGGAACCAACATGACAGCACCTAAGACCAGTCTATATGTGGCTCTCACCGTGTGGATCCTATTTGAATTGACTTTTGGTGGTTTACTTATTATATGGCTCTCAAAATGAACCCCATGAGAGCAAGGACCCTGTTCTTGTTTACCTTAGGATTCCTGGTGATGTCATAGCAGGCACTTGACACAATTCCACTGAATTAATGACGGAGCCTGTGGGAAGATGTAGAAAAAAATTTGGGTGGATCCAAGGCAGCACATCCTTCAAGGCTCAGCCTTGCCTGTCCTGTCTCTCACTCCACAGCCTCTCCCAGGACCCATCACACTCTCATGAGACTGTGAACTCAAGGATAGGGACATGTTTGTTCACTGGGGTCCCCAGCACCAAGCATAGTACCTGCATGCATTTACCCAATAAATGTGAAATTCTGTCCAATTTTGTGGTATTTCTATGCTGATGCGACATTTGGCCTGGCCCAATGAACATTTCTTGCTCAACTCACTAAATGGACTGAAAACAGCTCTTTTTGCTTTTTCTCTCTTATTTTCTTCCTCTTTGTGTCTGTTCTCCCCAGAATGACCCAGAGACCAGACTGAGTCTAACATTGTGAGCTAATTAAAAAGAGAAGCAGGAAGAAAGATGGAAAGTGAGAAGAGGTTAGGAGGATTTGACAATTCATTAAATGTTGAGTGTAGACCCTCTGCCTACAGAAGGGAAGGAGGGCCAGTCACTGCTGCCCTCTTATGGTCAGTAGGAGGGGCTGATATTGAGTGACTCTAAGACCAGACACAGCACTGTGTGTCCTTATCAGGTGGGAGATGAGATAACATTTCTTCCCCCCAAGCAGTGACCTCTGGGGACTCTGCTGCCTACAGGGAGTAAATGAAATTTCACAAATTTTCATGCAAGACCCAGAATAATCTTTCCTTACCAAACTCTCCAGGTTCATCTCTTCTGGGCTCAACCCCCAAGGAACCACAAGCTGGCTGTGATATGACATCAGGAAGGAAGAAGTGAAGCACATTTTCCCGTAAGTGGAAAACTACCTGTCAGGAATATCACAGAACTACTAAAAGAACATAAGACTATCTCTAGATATTGTGTAACATAAATTAGTTTCTGTTCATTTACCCAATACTTTTATTGTGAGTTCAGTGGTGGTTTACAAAGCAGATCATCAGTTTTTCATTCAATAATCATAGACTTTATTTCATTTCAAAGGTTGCAAGCCCTTCAGTGTAAGATCACTTATCCCGCTTCCTCCCTGTGTTCCTTATTCCCATTCTTCCTTTTTCCCCCAATCCTATTGAATTTTGTCCTTGGGTAAACGCTGCCCTTTTGATTGGTAGTGGTTGACCATTCTGTGGCGTGTGTACCTCTAATGCAGGGGTGGAAGGCTCTTTTTGCCAACGTTTATAACATCATTTGTGGGCCATACAAAATTAGCAACTTAAAAATTAGCTGGCTGTATTTGCTCAAACATTTTAATTAACTCACCCCAATGTGATGACTGATGTGGTGCTGTGGGCTAATGCTCTGAATTGCAAAAAACGGTTTGAACTACAAGGTCGGTGGTTCAAGCTCACCAGCTGTTCCTTAGAAACCCTATACAGGGTCACTACAGGTTGGAACCAATTCAATTTCACTTAACAATGACAACAGTGTGATGATTAGAGTCCTGGTGTGCTGCTGTGGGTTAATGCGCTGAACTGCAAGGTCAGTCTGAACCGCAAAGTCAGTGGTTCAAACTCACCAGCTGCTCCTCAGAAAGTCTATACAGGGTCATTGTGTCGGAAGTAACTCGACAGCACTTAATAGCAACAACAACAATGGAGTCCTGGTGTGGCACTATAGGATGAACATTGGACTGCTAACCACAAAGTCGGAAGTTCAAACCCACCAGCTGGTCCTAGAAAACCATATATAGGGTCACTATGAGTCAGAACTGACTCCAAGGCACTTAATAACAACAACAGTGTGATGGCTGGAAGTGCGGTTGCCTTGAGAGGACTAGGCTACATGATTTTGCAGGCCTTATGTTCCCCACACTTGCTCAAGTGCATACTTACCATTGCTTAGTTGAAAATTGAGCCATGGGGGTAAGTTCAATTCTAGAGCTGAAGGGTCGCCAACAGCCATGGTCAGGGGTTCCAGCAGTCTCTATCTGACTAGTGTGCTGGCAGTTTTTACGATTTTGAGTTTTCTTCCACATTTCCTTGCACTCTATCTGTTGTTGTTATTGTTGTTAAGTGCCTTCGAGTCGGTTCCGACCCATAGCGACCCTGTACAGGGTTTCCGAGGGTGTAAATCCTTACGGGAGTAGAAAGCCTCATCTTTCTCCCGCGGAGCAGCTGGTAGTTTTGAACCGCTGACCTTAAGGTTCGCAGCCCGATTCGTAACCACTACGCTACCAGAGCTCCTTCTATCTAGGACCTTCTAATACGATCCCTGTCCTAGAAGTTGGAAGAGGTAGCCAGGTACCATTTAGTTCTTCTGATTTCAGGTCATAGAGACTGATGTCTACGTGGTCCATTTGTCCACTGGACTAATGGTTTTCACGCAACTTCAACTTTCATCACTCTTCTTTCCTTCACACAGGGAGAGACCAATAGCTGCACCTTAGATAGCCACTTACGAGCTTTCGAGATCCCAGTTGCTACTCACCGACATAAGAGCATTGTTTTTGTGGACTATGGTATGCCAGTTGACCATGAGATCCTCCAAAACTATAGCCCTGAGCCCCCAGGCCCAGTGACTCTTTCCTTCAAGGTGTTTGGTAATGTCTAAGAAGTTTTCATAACTGTGTCCTCTGTATGCTCCACCATAACCCTGGATATACTTGCAACAAAGGTAAATACCCACATCTGAATAGCCTCTGTCTAATCTTTATACATTTGTGGGTCTACTCCCACTCTCCCTCCCACACCTGTTCAGCCTACATGTCTACCCATGTATAGATTGTCATTACTGTAGGGTTGTATATATAAATTGATATTTACCTCTGCCTTTTACTCTTGCATTTCTCTCTATAGCTTCATGTGCTTCCATCATGTTTTTGCCAACTTCCCCCTTATTGTATATTACCTTCTCCCTCACACAAATTAGAAATAACCTTATAGGACTCCTGGTATGGTACTATAGGATAAGCAAGGTCTTATCCTTGCTTGTCTAGACTGCCAACTGCAAGGTCAGTAGTTCAAACCCACTAGTCGCTCTTATTCAGGGTCACTATGAGTAAGAAATGACTCGACAGCAACAAACACCTTTTAGCCAGTGAATTACTCCCCCTTCCCTCCCACCCGATAACCATCAAAGAATGTTTTTATTTTAGTGTGAAAATCTTTTCTTGATCAGAGAATGTTTTTTGAGGGCTAGTGGTTACGAATCGGGCTGCGAACCTTAAGGTCAGCGGTTCGAAACTACCAGCCGCTTCGCGGGAGAAAGATGAGGCTTTCTACTCCCGTAAGGATTTACACCCTCGGAAACCCTGTACAGGGTCGCTATGGGTCGGAACCGACTCGACGGCACTTAACAACAACAACTTTGTACCAGGCCCTGTTCTGGACTCTGAAGACATTGTGCTGAAGGAAACAGACAAATTCCTACTTTTAAGAAGCTTACACTCCCATGGGAAAAAAAACAGTAAACAAATAGAAATTGGATTCAGTAGTGATAAGGACTGTAATGGAAAAAAAAACAAAAAACAGCTGGATACTAATTTGTGAAAGGGTGATAGAGAGAGCCTTTTACATTACTGTTGTTGTTAAGTACCGTGGAGGCAGTTCTGATTCATAGTTCTGATTCCTACACTTTGTAGGATTTCCAAGGAGCGGCTGGTGGACTTGAACCTCTGACCTTCTGGTTAGCTATCCAGTGCTTATCCTACAACATTATACCCAAACTCCTGTTTCAGATTAATGGTTAGGGAAATCTCTCTGAGGAGGTGATATTATGTGACACTTAAAAGAATTGTAGCTATTTTTATCAAGGTCAGAAACGAAAGCACAGAACACTGTGAAGTTTGTTTCAGAATGAGATCTGCCGTCATCATTTTTAGGAATCAGTATCCCACCTCATCCAAGAGGGTCATCTTCACACACCTACTTGTCTTCCCCATCTCTGTGCCTTTGCATATGCTGTTCCCTTTGCCAACACCCCTATCCCGCTCCTTTCAATCCATCGGCACCTTCTTACTTCAAGGTA